AAACCAAAAAAAATCAGATTTGGTGAGAAAATCAGATTTGGGCCACTTTTACCTGCTGTGTGAACATAGCCTAAAGGACAATGGGGAACTTGAGATTGTGGCGAGTTTTCCATGTAGCTTCATGTTTATTTGTTTATTCAAACTAAGTCTCCGGACACGCATCAGATGCTTCTGCAGAAAAACAGAAGTGCCTTAACAATGGTACCCAAAATCACAGCACAGTGTCAGCTGATATGGACAAAAATTTGTATTGAAAAACTACAACAAAAACACTGTTATAAATGTCCATAACTAAACTAAATAACTAAACTACATTTTAATTTACCTTATCGCTTCTTGGAAAAAAAGGCATAGCCGTTATCTTTTTACCTACAATGCAGTCTATATTTCATTAAACCAACTCAAATCACTGCATTTTATTATTTTATTTAATGCTCACAGACTGTGATAAGCTAATACAGTATAGTCTTTGCTGGTATGAATTCCCCCTAGTCATTACACTATGCACGTGGCATCACCCCTTTCACAAATACCAAACCTCTCAGCACAAGCTAGTCTGATGACTCAAACAATAATTAATCCAAAGAACCAATCAAAAGGCAGCAAGGGTTATCCCCTGCCCATCGTGGAGCAAGGGCGCACGCCTGGATCAATAAACATCCGCTGGCACCAAAACTAGACTTTAGTTGTTCGTCCTTTGCTGAAGTAAACAAGTCGGTTGGTATGGCAACTTGGCCGAAGACGAGGCAAACACTGAGATGAGGGCTGTACTGTCAGGAGTGTCCTCATGAGCGGGTGAGTCAGCAGCCATCCAAGTTGCTCTTTGCCCTCGTCTACAAACACACCAGCCTGCTGTCTCCAAAACAGCATTTGGGATGGGAGGAAAATGCTAGTTTCAGTGTAAATATAAGTTCCAAGGTAGATTCTTCTACGTCTCCCAGAGCGAAGGCATAAAGGGGACTTTCAAACTTTATAGAAAAAATAAAAAAACGATCCTGGAAAAATGCAGCCACAATATCAAAGTACTCTGCATTAGTGCATGGCAGTTTAAACCAAATGTAACATCACATTTTAGGCTATACTTTACAGACACACAGACACATCATAACTGCATTAAACGCACCATACTGCTTGAAAAGACTCCCTTAGTAAAGCTGCATTCTTTTCTCACAGAATCAGTACAAGTGATGTGAATATAGCTGCATTCAGAAACATCTTATAGCCTTGGAGTCAAGAGTCTCAGACCACAGTTTGGAGTGGGCTTGAGAAACTACAGAGTTGATTCAAAGAGATTCATCTGATTTCAAAGCGCCATATTTTTACAACCGTGAGGCGCCTAGGAACCAATCACATACCAACTGAAAGAGGGGGTCACAGAGTTTCTGACCGTCACTGGAAGACGGCTCCCTTCAGTCTGCGAGGGGATGCGACCCCTGAGCAGAAAGCGTTTTGTGTTCTCCACTTCAATAAGAGTGAATCTGTCATAACTGTGCAACGTGATTTTCGTGGGAAGTGAACCTCCAACAGCTCAGAGCGTTCGTCTTTGGTTCCACAACACTGGATGATCTCCGAAAACGCACTGAAAGAGCAGCGAGTGCAGTGACACCCGACATGCTCAATTGAGTATGGGATGAATTTGACTATGGCGTTGATGTTGTCCGTACAGCTGGGGGAGGTTCATATTGAGCACTTGTAAAATTACAAACTTTATCTTCACTTAAACCATTTACAATTTACTGCACTGTCCTGTAATGATTTACAAGTGAAATAAATAAATTTAAAATCAGATAAACCTTTTTGAATTATCCTGTATAATGGCTGAGGATGTAATGTATCAGACATGATTATAATCTTTAAAGCTTTATGCAAAGACATAAAAGAAAAAGCATGTAAAAAACACTATATGTGCATCATGGTATTTCATTTTCTCTTGTTTAACCAGTTGGAACAGACAATGCACCAGAAGGGCAACAATCAGAAAGTGCTATCAAAAACTCTGGGCTGTTTTTCTAACACAACAGTTCATGTAGCGTACAGCACTACATACAATTAAACAGGACCAAATACGCTCTTGTGAACCGCTGACATCGTCATATTGTGAAACAATGATACCCACAATCTATCGATGCTGGGCCACGCCGAGCGTCTTCTATGGAAAGTGACGACGAGGCAGTCAGGCCCTGCCTTCACACCCTGTATTATCAGCTGTTTCCAGGGGCAAGGTTTGTGTGGTATCTATGGCAACTAGGAGGCCTGCCCTGCGGTCTGGACAGCGGCGGTGTCTGAAGCTGAACTGCAGCAGGAACAAAGACGCTCGCAGGCAGTCGTTCATGATGAATAATGCACACGTGTACCAGAGGCAGGAGAAGAGCTGTGATCACAGATAGCGTCCTATTGCAGAAGTGTAAACAAAGAACCGGTATTCTCTGTACACAAGCAGCATGAAGACAAAGACACAAAAGGACAAGCGAGCTACAGTACAAACTGAGGGTGTGCTGCAGATGTTATGGAGTGCTGCAGATGTTATGGAGTATCTTCAGTGTGATGTGGGCTTCCGGTCCCAAGAACCATCTTTTTTTTTAGCCATGTATGTAATGATCAAACTGGAAGTGATTTCATCTCCTATAAATAGCTCTAAGGGCTTTTACTTCCTCCCCGAAAGCTCGCAGTCAACGATATGCAATGACCTGCAGGTTCCTATGCTACTCTTTTGCAGCCCACTGCAAACGAAGCCAGCGAGAACAGCTAGAGAACTGCATCACAGCTGAAATCCCTTCAGTGTGCTTGCAAAACTCACCACAGCCAGGAATGAATCAGCATGAAAGAAAGGAGAATGAGAAAAAGACAAGTGTTCCTCACAGTCACCCCCTTAATCTTCTCAACAATGGTTCTCAGGCTCAAACCCAGCACTGTACAGTTCAGTATTATTTCTTTTCTAACTAAACACATGATTTCAGGCCATGTCGCAGGGAACATGCTGGGGTTTAAAGAACACACGTCACTCATTTTAAAACCTTGTGACCTTTTTTCTCATTGGAAAATGCCAGCTGCCCTTTACGCTGTATAAAAATTTCTTTAAATGAAATTCATTACATTATCGTGCATTAAAGTTGAGAATGTTTACCAATTTGGAGATACAAGGAACAACAGCGTCTCCAACTTTTATGGTAATAAATTATGTACAACCGAGCTTTCCACTTAAACCAGGTTAAATAAGTTAAGTTAGCGACTAATTAAAACTCTACTATTTATAGTTACGCTATTTAGTATTTATCTTCTAATTTGATCTTTCATTTTCTTCTGATTCTAAATAAATACTAATGATTTCTTGTATAACTGTTTTATCACCTGTCTGTAAAGCACTTTGACCAGCCACCGGCATGAAAAGTGCTATATAAATAAAATTATTACTATTATTATTATTATTATTATTATTAAATGCTATCAGAGTGATTCTACACAAACTTGATATTACATCACCACGAGGCAACTTACTGTGAATTCATATTCTCCTCCACACTACCTCCCTCCCTTTCTCTTCTTCGCTCCCTCCTGTTCCTCCCTCACTCCCTCCCTCTCGGAGTGGCCCCCTGCCCTTCCCGCTCCCCCTCTTTTCTCCCAGGCATTTTCCCGCTCTTCCTAGCTTTGCACCCCTTGGAAACAACACAAAAGTGAACCTTCGGCTCTCAGCAAGAGAGGGTCGCTCTGAGCCACCAAGAGCGAGACCTCAAATTTGACGTTTTTGGCATGTTCTCATGAGGTAAACAAACTTTTCTACAAGCAAAGTTTACAACACACCCTTTTTTTTTAAGTCTCTGGTGTTGCAGACTGACTTGCTGACAGTGAAATCAATGTCATGACACAGCTGAGCTCCCAAAGGAAATTCCAGAGCAAAATCTACCACATCTTCAGCAGCTGAGGAAACATCGTTCGTGGTAATGTTGGGCTTGGCCTGGGAGGAAGGAGAGATGCACAGCTGATGAAATCCTCTCAAAGTGCCAGAGGCAGGGACAGCTGAGAGAGAGCGAGCCTGCAGATCTGATTATAGATTAAAATGCATTTACCCACAGTGAACTACCAGCGCCTGGACACACAGCCCTATGTTTAAAGGGACCATTTGAGAAAGACTACACATATCATCATCCAGTCACTGTCCCAGCAATCACGGTGACCCTCAGAAACGACCCACAACTTTGCCTCCAATGTTCCCTGACCAGGATTTCCTGTCCTGCCCATGTTATAGTATTACAGCTCCTTCTTATATATACATTTACTACTCCAGCCTGCTCGGTTTTTCTAGTCTTTTTGTCAGAATATCGTGCTGTGCATCCATTAGCGAGAAAAACAATGTTATTCGATCATAAAACTGATATCCAAAGCCTGACAATGAAGCAGCTGCTCTGTGTGCCTTCAGTGGTGAAAAACGCAGTACCCGCCCTGCTGTCCTCCCGAGCCTGGCATCTACAGACCACATGGCTCACAGAGGAGTCAATTACTTCCAATTTCATCATTCACTTCAACTCATCTGCTCCAACCCAAAAGCAGACTCGGGTTTTAGCATATTAAGCAGTTTTGACATGCTGTGGTAACGTTAACGGTCCAGCTGGCCTCTCTGTGAAGGAAGGAGAGACCGCTAATAACGTTAATGTTAACAGTAACGTTTCGGTCCAACTCAAGCTCAAAACTGCTCAATTGTGTAACTTAACGGTTTTTAATCCACAAAATGACTCAAATGTATGATTTTCCCATCCTGTGAGAATGAATACGCTGCGTAGGAGCGGATTTTGTGCCCCGAATGGAGGGTTAAGCTAGCGGGGCGTGCTAAAACCCCTCAAGTCAAGCTTCTTATTCGAATTCTCCCGTTCCACCTTAAATGGTGCAGCAGTTACACACGGACTGCGCCATTTAAGGTGGAACGGGAAAATTCGAACAAGAAGCTGGTGAATAAGAAACCAACTTTAGCCTCGTTCACCAAAAAGAAACAAACGCTTTTCACTCACCTTCACGAAAAGCTCGATAACGGGCTCGTTTTCTCCTCGTCCGTTCTGAGGTACCGACAGAGACATGGCTGAAGTTTCTTTTTCGCTGTTTTGTCCAGAAATATCAGGAGTCCTCGCCCTCGAAAAGTTTCCCCAACTGCTCCCTCCTTTTTCCACGGAGTCCTGCAACGGACGTTTTCTTTTTTTTTTTTTTCTCCAAACAAAGTGAACGTTAGCGCAGAGCAGCTGCGAACAGCACGGCGCTTTTCTCACACAAGACTGCGCTTCTTAGAGCAAGAAAGCCTTTCAATACACAACTTTAACTTCTTTTTAACACAGGTTAATACGTATACTGTTTCTCACAAGCTCAAGGTTGTTACAGAGGCATCGCTAGAGAGACACACAGGCTTCAGTCTCCTCTCAGCTATTGAGCCCGAATCGGGATGGCGAGCCGTTGGATTCGAAGCTGAAGGAAAAAAAAAGAATGAGGAATATTTAAATAAGTGACATCATCCGCAGTGGGCGGGGTTTAAGAAGCGTTCTGTTGAACGATGTTTTTTTTTTCAACCCCACCCGTATTCCAACAAGCCCCGCCTTCCTTCAATGGGATTGGATATTAATGCTGCGCTGGGGTTTCAATGCCCCGCCCTCCTTTAATAGGATTGTAGAATTCTTTTAGGTGGCTTGCCCGATTAGCCAATCCTAACGTAGGAGGGCGGGTCTAGTCCGAATAAAGGTGGGGAAAAAATCGCTGTACACAAAAAGGGGGGCGGCGTTTTGGGCGTTTATCGCTAGAAAGGATGCAGCCAATCACTACACCAGTGCTATGGACTGCAGTCTGTGGACCACAGAATAAGACTGAACAGCTTTGAGTGACTGAAAAGTACACTCTTAAAAAAAGAGGGTTCCTCAAGGGTTTATTATCAATGAAAATTGTTTTATTTAGAACAATGAACACTCAAAGAACCCTTTGCATGATTGAAGGGTTCTTTGTATCGTGAAAGGGCTTCGCAGATTGATGGAGAATGTGCTGTAGATGGTTCTGCATAGAACCTTTTTGAAAATGGTTCTATATAGCACACAAAACGGTTCATCTATTGTTACAATGTCAAGCGTGTAATAATAGAAGAAACCTTTTGGGTGCTATATTGAACCCTTTTTTAAAAAAAGGTTCCATATAGAACCGTCTGAAGAACACTCTCATGATGTAAAGAACCGTTAAATCATGCAAAGGGTTCTTTGAGTGTTCATGGGTCTATATAGAACCATATTCTTTACTAAAGAACCCTTGAAGAACATTCTTTTTAAGATTGTAGCACTAAAACACTTGTTGATGTTTCCCTCTAAGGTAATTAACAATTTTCCAAAAATTGCATAGGAAAATAATTATGGTTTATTTGTGGTTTATTTGAGTTATTGCCAAAATAATCAAATTAATTTAACTGGATTTCAACTGGCCAGTGAATGCAAACAGATTAAACTCATTTAGAGCCTGAAAAAACAGATTTTACTTCGAGAGTTCCTTTCAGATCTGGATTAGGCCATTAGAAACTGGGACATTACAACCCCAGAGCAGCTTTTTACCACTTTATCCACAATTTGGGCCTTTTATGATTCAGAACAGAAGGTCTAAATCAGATTTCATATCTCAGGTCCTCTTTCACCTTTACTGGCCTATAGGGATGGGTGGATGGAGATACTTCTGATCCTGATGTTTCTTTATGAGAATTGACCCTCTCATGAAAATACTGACACTGTTTTCTTTAAGCAGTAAAGTGGATATCTATCCTGTATGTCTTTAATGCTGAAAAAGGAAGAAATGATCGTAGAAAATAAACGTATGATAAAGGAGCTACTTTTTCTTCCTCATTCACGTAACTGTAGATCATACGGAGCTGCTCAAAAACGTCAGTATCTTGCTGTTGTCAGAAGAAAACCTTGTCTCTCCAAAATGATAACTTTGCAGGAGAAGGAAAGAACCTACTTAAGTCAATGGAACCAGATTTTTGTCCAAGTCATTTTGGGCCGTTTCTTCATCATGAAATCTACACACAATGTAACGGGCAAGGCATTTTCACATCATGTCAAAAACTGAAAATCGACAAAAATGGAGATACGAGGTTTTCTTCCAACAGCAGCGATATGTGGCTGTTTGTTTAATATAAATACAAAGGGTTTTTTTAAGTATACATTTTTGATGTCCATATTTATTGGTTTTCACTAAAGAAAAAGAAATGAAATCAAGGATCAATATTAATATCGAGATGTTAGAACTAGTTACTTGGTATCGGATCGAAAAGAGACTGTATCGCCCATCCTTACGGCCTACTCACTGCACACCAGAATACTGAGTCCATTCTGGCCTGTCCGTGTTTGTCCATACTGTATTTAATTGGATGGTAAATGCAGTTGTTGATCTGAGATGAGCATTCATACTCAGGTTTGGTGAATATGTGTCCAGGTTTTGATTGTAAACACTGCCCAACTCAGCAGAAGCTCCCACTCTGGGGTTGTGCTGAGCTGTTCATTGTGCCTGCCAAATTAACACATGCATACAGTGGGGTCCAAAAGTCTGAGACCACATTGAAAATCTAGAATGTCTAAAATGTTTTTTTATTTTAACCTGGGATTTTAAATCAAAGCAAAGTTATCATGTGTAAAATGAAGAAGACATATTCAAGATTCTGCACTGTTTCTAGGTCACTATTCAAATTTATACAAATATGTGACACTGGCTCTGTTAAGGCCTTTGTACATAAAGGTCAGCTCTTTTTTTAGTCTTATTTCTTCCACTGAGGCTCTTGTTCAGACGACTCTTGGGTGGATTCGATCTGCCCGTCAGAGGCTTTTGCACAAACTTGTGGCATTAAACCTAAAGGGCGGCATAGCTAAGAAAAATATGTACATATTTTGATGATTAAATCAGACCACAATCAAGGTCTCAGACTTTTAGACCTCACATAAATCTTCCAAAGCTGTGCCAAAGAGCAAAGCAGACACAAAAACAGCACCAGAACCAAACATACAGTTCGTTTCTGTAGACTTCCATACATTCCCTGGAGACATACTCAAAGCTCAAAAACAAAGACTAAAACTAGCCTAACCCTAACCTTATTCTAACCCTAACCTTATCATAGCTTTAAAACATGTCTTCACCATAAATTGTAATGAATTACTTTGTAGGGACCAGCTTGTGGTCCCCACAAGGAAGAAAGGTCCCCACAACATGAGTGTACAAACTGGTTTATAAATAAACCTGGCATACACACACAGACAAATATTCCATGTATTGTGCATATGTATGAATATTTGTTATTATAGTATGCACCAAATGCATTAAACACAGTATATTTAAATACTTACGTGTAACGATATTATGTGTCATTTATATCACACACAGTAATGTGCAAAAGTCTCAGCCATCTAAGCAAATTTACTGCAATCATATCTTTCAGCAGTAAATATATAATCATAATATTAGTATGATTTCAATTAAACATAAATGCAGTAAATAGTAGTGGAACTCCTTGTTTTGAAAATAATAATAATAATAATAATTGATATTTTTTGAGTAAGTTAGAAGAGGATAGTTTGGTTCCATACTTCTCCTTAATGTTCCCAGCCATTGCGATGATTTGTTAAATTCCATCACCAGGACACTTGATTTAACTTAATGAAGGATCGATTCATTGGTTGGAAGTATTGTATGGTAACTTGGGAAAAGTCTGGAGATGGTTATGCAAACACACTGACAGACATAAAACCACAACTTACTCTATTAATGTAATGTAATATTAGTGCGTTATTGGGCAAATAAACAGTCACTGCCAAAAATAGGGTTTTGAATTGTCTGAAGTTCCTAAACCTTTTGCATAGTACTGTAACAAATATATATATATATATATATATATATATATATATATATATATTGCTCTGAGCTTTACAAGGTGAAATCCGTAACATTTACTGGTCCTTACCCGGACTTTTACAACAAAGCTGGGACAGTTTTGTCCTGAAAATATATGAAAACCACCACACACATACACCGATCAGGCATAACATTATGACCACCTCCTTGTTTCTGTGCTCATTGTCCATTTTATCAGCTCCACTTACTATATTGGTGCACTTTGTAGTTCTACAATTACAGACTGTAGTCCATCTGTTTCTCTGCATACTTTGTTAGCCCCCTTTTACCCTGTTCTTCAGTGGTCAGGACCCCCATGGACCCTCACAGAGCAGGTAATATTTGGGTGGTGGATCATTCTCAGCACTGCAGTGACACTGACGTGGTGGTGGTGTGTTAGTGTGTGTTGTGCTGGTATGAGTGGATCAGACACAGCAGTGCTGCTGGAGAAGAACAGGGTAAAAGGGGGCTAACAAAGTATGCAGAGAAACAGATGGACTACAGTCTGTAATTGATCCATTAATTTCCTGGAGACTTACCCTAACCTGGCCTAACCCTAACATTAACCTTACGGTAACCTTTAAACATGTCTTTATTTCAATATATAACGATTTACGTTGTGGGGGCCAGTACTATAGTCTCCACAAGGAAGAAAGGTCCCTACAATGTGGCTTAAACGTGGTACACACATACACACACACAAATCCTTTGCAAATACGACCCCTAGGGACAATGAATTGGCGGTGTTCCGTATGTGGAGCTCTAAGCAACAGTTCAGTGCTACAATACAATGCTTGTCGTAGTGAAAGAGCAGCCTGAGTTTGATATATATATATATATATATATATATATATATATATATATATATATAAAGTTGTGTGTGTATATATAGATAGATATATATATATATATATATATATATATAGATAGATAGATAGATAGATAGATAGATAGGTAGGTAGACAGATAGATAGATAGATAGATAGATAGATAGATAGTTAGATAGATAGATAGATAGATAGATGTGGACGCATCTCTCAAATACATCACCTTTCTTTTAAAAGGCTTCTACTTTACACCCAGTATAATCGTCAGGAACTTAAACTAAACCACTTTCTCTCTCTGTTCCTTTACAGTCCTTAACATTTAGTTACTAGCTAATTTCCTTTTTTTGAGGATTTTCACGTTTTGCTTTGCTGCTGCTAACAGCTTTAACATTTCATTTTAGACCAAAAGGACCCCAAAAGAGAAACGAACTTCAGTTCAAATCCTAATAGTTTTTGTATTGTATTATATTGTATTGTATTGTACTGCACTGCGCTGTGTTCAACTCAGGACTGGCTTCTCTCTAACCTATCGGTAACTGGCAAAGATACTTTGTCTAGATAGACAAAGCACTTTTTGTAAGTCGCTCTGGATAAGAGCGTCTGCTAAGTGCTGTAAATGTAAATGTAAACGGTGTACATGCTTGCTACTGAAGTAAGTGTTACTGAGGACAGTTTTAAGCTCTACGCTTCAGGCTGACCATGTTGTTCTCCCCAGTTTGTACACTGAGGATATGCAGCGCTAACTGCTAAAGCTACTAGCAAAACAGTGGCCGGGCAACGCAGACCGTTTCCTAGGAGACGCCAAGGAGACACACAGACGCACGCGCAGTGGACTTTTTTCTCCAAGCCAGGCAGGAGAGTGATAACGATCCTAAATCACCTCTAACGACACCTTAAAGGGGAATTCCACCTATTTTTTTTTTAATATATGCATAATTCAGGGGTTGGGATGTAAACAAAGTTATTCAGAGAGATTTGATGTGAAATGGTTATTTTTTAGGAACTTGCCAACTCGGATTTTCTTTACAGTGGTGGTGATAGGAACCAGGAGTCACAATGTCTACAACACAAATATATCCATTTTATTTACTATCCAAAACAGATCTTAAGAGAGCTTAAAAAGTTTTCTTTGGATGCTATGGATGTAACAAAATCCATTTTGACCTAAAAGTTTATCACAAAACTGTCGTAGAACTACGACATTGGAGTAACTGCAATGAAGTGTCAACTGGAATGAAGTATTAATCGGAATAAAAATATCAGCCGAGGCAAATCTTGTATTCATTTCTGATAAATAATGAAACAAAAGTAGTTATTGATAGTGGAGGAGCAGGCCTTCCAAAACCAATTCAATTATACAAAGAGGCAGCAAAACATTGCTTCCAATATGTAGCCCTTTTAACCCACACTTTCAAATGCTTCACTATGGCCAGTCAGCATTGCAGTGAAGGAATGGGCAGGAAGAAGAAACCTTATCACACTTACATAGCAATAACGCACAATCAGTTTATATTTAGTAAAATGACAGTACAGTAGTGTTAAAAGCCCCTAAAAATGAAATGGCCTTTGCAACTGCAAATTAAGCCACAATGACTGAAAGAATTAAAGATGAACTTCACTAATTTTAAATAATTCATAATTAAATCTAAAATGTAGTCATTCAGAATGATTTGAGGTTAAAAGCTCCACTCTAGAGAAACATTGATGTCTGAATAGTATAATGCGACACAAAGCTGTAACACAAAATGGCCATAGCTGGTTGGCACCCAACGCATTGTTTTACGATAACTAAGATGATTTCGGCCTAAAACATGTTTTTAAATGCACTCCTGGCAGAGATACATGAAGGACAGTGTAAGGCAAACAGTCCCCAAGAAAAAGACTGTAGTCCATCTGTTTCTCTGCATACTTTGATATCCCCTTTTACCCTGTTCTTCAGTGGTGAGGACCGTCATGGACCCCCCTGGTACTATTTGGGTGGCGGATCCCTCTCAGCACTGCAAGGACACTGATGGGGTGGTGGTGTGTTAGTGTGTGTTGTGCTGGTACAGGTGGATCAGACACAGCAGTGCTGCTGGAGTTTTTAAACACTGTCCACTCTATTAGACACTCCTACCTTGTCAGTCCACCCTGTAGATGTAAGGTCAGAGACGATAGCTCATCTGCTGCTGCACAGTTTGTGTTGGTCATCGTCTAGTCCATCAGTGGTCACAGGACGCTGCCCACAGGACGCTGTTGGCTGAATACTTTTGGTTGGTGGACTATTCTCAGTCCAGCAGTGACACTGAGGTGTTTAAAAACTCCAGCAGCACTGCTGTGTCTGATCCACTCAGACCAGCACAACACACACTAACACACCACCACCACATCAGTGTTACTGCAGTGCTGGGAGTGATCCAGCACCCAAATAGTACCTGCTCTGTGAGGGTCCAGACCACTGAAGAACATACATACATACATACATGCTATACACAAAAAAATAACATGTAAGTTTGCTGGTTGCTTTGGATAGTAAATAAAATGTTGTGTTGCAGACATCACAACCCCTGGTTTCTATCACCACCACTGTTAAGAAATACGAGTTTCTATATACTGACCCATATCACAAACACTTTGAAATACAATTACTGTCTAGATCCCAATATGTAGAAATTCTGAAAACTCGAATTCCCCTTTAACTGAGGTAAGGCAAGACCGTATCCAGTTTTGTTCTTCATAATTCTTGCTAAAATCTCTCACAATGACACACACAATGAAAGCATATCCTTCCTTTTAATGTGACTTTTTCAAAGCCAGATATTTCTGCAAGGTTCAACAACTTGAAACAACTTAAAGTTACAAAAGAGTGGGGCAGAGAGAAAGAAACAAAGAAAGGATGCCAACAGAAGTTGCTCATTTGTTCTCCATTTTCCAGAGCGACACGCTGCAGAACAGCACGGCCACAGAAAGCCGCACAATGCTCTCACTGACAAAAGACGGCAGCCCCGTGGGTTTTACTGCACAGTTCATGCACACAGGAGGACAAACACATGGATGTCTGCTGCTGCTCATGCGATCTGAAATCCCAACACTCCTCGTCCAAAAGTATACATCAAATAAAACCCCACTTCTTCAATGGTGAAGTTACAAGGGAATCTATCTAAATGCCGACTGAAAACCGCCAAGCTCAGAACTGTTAACAGCTTCTCCTTAAAGCTGCATAAGGTGAAAATATTGGTTGCAAAAGAAATGTGGAAAAAAAAAGGGGGGGCGGTAGTTTTTTGGGGTTTTTTTTGTATATGCATGTAAATTTTCAGTGGGCGAAAAGGAAAACAAAAGATCATGCTGCAAGAAGGAAAATAGATAAAAACCCGTTCAACACAAATTGAAGAAAAAAACATTCATCAAAAAAAACTAAAGAAAAAAAAAAAAACAACCTCATAATTCTAGAAGAAATTTGAACAATTTGTACATTCTAAAGCAAAACCAACATCAAATGGTTTAAAACTAGGAAAGGGGGAAAGGTTCTCAGGACTGGGATGGGGACATCTGGGCTTTCCTCATGGAGCGCAGGGCTTTCTCTCTCAGGTGCTTCTCCAGGTCATCCAGACTGTCCTCTACTTCACTCTCTGATTCCTTCAAGAAAGGTAGCATTAATCAAAGTCTGCTTCATCACAGAAAGACCGTGTTAAATGTGTTACAGGGTCTCAACTGTACCAATTATTCTGAGCACTCTGGCCTAAAACTAGCATTTAAATGTCATTTGTCGTGTTATGTAATATTCTGTGGCACAGCATTATATCTCCCAGGCTCATCCATTTGACAGAACTCCCCAGCCTATTGATTTTACGATTTCGTATACTTTTTGCCCACCAACATTCTTTTACTACAACACAGCTTGCGTTACACAAATACGCATACAATCATTAGGAACTCCCCCCATGGCAATAAAAAAAAAAAATCCACTGATGTAGAGGCTAATAAATACTAGGGATGTGTATTTCAACATTTGATTGATCTTAGGAAAAAAAAAATATACTATACTAATGCAAACCCCACAGCAGTAAAGCATTAGTTTGCCTTGTAATCCAATCCTAACATTAGTTCCACTAGCAACTGTGATTACTGTAGAACAATGCATAAAGCTTGTTCTTATTGTAGCTGAGACACTACAGAACTACAGCTAATCTCAAATTCCATTAAGGCATCATATCTGTGTGTCCGTGTTATTGAATCCTCAGTAAGAAAACATTTAAGTACACCTTTAGTAAATTAAGAAATGCCTACTTCACCTTTTTCTGATCAGAATCAGGGTCTCCCTCAATACGGACGTTTTCCTGCCCTTCGCCTGCCGGTCCTGCAGCTCCCTTCTCCTTCTTATGCTTCTTGTGCTTCTTGTGTTTTTTCTCTTTCTTGTGTTTCTTCTCCTTCTTCTTCTTCTTTTTCTTTCCGCCTTCTACGTCAGAGTTCTGAAAGATTATGTGGAGATGAAATTGCTTCATGGCAAATTCACCCAAGCATTAAAGTTAACAGAATTGGGACATCAACAGAGTTACGGTTTAGTGTACCTTGTTAGGGGAGGGGCTCGGAGAGGCGCTGCTGGCCTTCTTCGCTGGAGGTGGGGGGGAGCCACTCGCTGAGCGGGTGGGAGAGGGAGAGGGGGACGCAGAGGCAGGAGCTGGGCGTTTCTGGGCTCCAGAAGCAGCTGCTGAGGCTGCTGGGAATGGAGGGGGAGAGGCGGAGCGTGAACGAGATGCAGGTCTCCTCACTGGCCGGGGGCTCGGAGAGCTTCTGCAGAAAGAGAGAAAAAAAGGAGAAAAACTTCTAGCACAGAATTTTGAAAAATTAAAACAATTAGGATAAACTTGAAAAACAAGGGAAAAAAACAAATAGGAAAATGTCAGGGATTCTCACTTTATGTATGTACTGAAAGATCAGTGTTCATCTTAATGGTTCATTTCAATTTTTTGCATTAAATTCTTTGAAATTTCTGATTTAAGTGTTCCCATTCATACTTTTGAGCAATATGTCATTAATATGAAAACATTTGTGTTCTCAAATGACCTGCATGCAGCCATTTCCTAAATCAACATTAGGTGCATGATCAATATGCATTACGAACAACTTAAAAAAAAATAAATATCAAATCAACACAAATCAACCACATATATAATTATACACAGGTATAAATACAAGCAACCCTTCTATTATCTGATTAAAACAAGTGAAACAAACTTCAGCCCATTCTCAGACATGTACCTTTGTGTTTTGCGTGGCTCTGGCGTGCGGGACACCCGGCGGATGGGTCTGTTACGAGCGGGAGACTGCTGCCGTCTCTGTGGAGAAGAGCTAGAGGGTGGATATCTGGCCTGTGGGCTGGCTGAGCCTCGGGCTGTGCGGCCCTGAGCTGGAGAAGAGCGCGAGTCCCTGCCCTGACGAGCAGCAGGGGGAAGCAGAGGGCTCCGGCGGTGGCGGGGAGGAGGGGAGGCCGAGGAGGGTGGGCTCCGCCTCTTCCCCGGGCTACCGCCACCACGACCGCGTTTGGGGGAGCGTGAGGGCCGTCGTTTGGAGGGAGGTGAGGTGGAGGGCCGTCTCTTCTGGGATGGGAGGGGAGAGGGGCTGTAACGGCGCTGTATGGGGGGTGAGTAGCGCCTCGGGGATGGGGAGCGCCGACGAGGAGGAGGGGGTGAGGGAGATCTGAAAAAGAAAGAAGAAAAAGTCTCTTTAGGTACAGATTGGAAATGAAGTCCATGAAGTGTCCTGAATCATCCAGGAGGGACTGGTTTGAAATGATTTTTGACTGCCTTTCTTTTTATTTTTCCTTTTTAAGGGTTCAAAGGAACAGCTGCTCCAAAAAATTAAATGTGCTATTATTCCTAATGTACTTTATCAACTGAGATATGATTAGTATCTAAAGTAGCCAAGAAGTAACAGAAGCTTATACTTCACCAATAAGCACTGTGCAAACTACATGTCTAAATCACACATTTGTTGCAAACCACCACAATTCACAACATACAAAATTCACAAAATATACAGACAAATTCAAACTACTACTGTAATGAGCAATATGACAGATTTGCCCAAAAAAAGTAAATTTTAAACTTAAATTTGAGGGTTGCTTGTGTAAATGTGACAGCTAGTAATAGTTCACAGCTGTCATACCAAATAGTTTACCCATACTGTTAAGTCGATTTAATTGACAAGGGAAAAAGGTACTCATAATAAGTAAGGTTTAGAGAAAGTTCCTGAACGCAAAATGAACTATACCTGCGTCTGGGAGGAGGGGATGGAGATCTGCGCCGTCTGGCTGGGGAAGGGGAGCGATGACGCCGAGGCGATGGAGATCGTCTCTTTCTGCATTAAACAGAGTGTGACGACAGAATTTAAGCCTCACTGAGCAAAACATTTTAAATCTTTTAAATCCAGGCATTTAGGGTGTACTCACACTAGGCTATCTGTACCATGCCCAAGCACGTTTGACCACCAAAGTCCAGTTCTTTTGACTAGTGTGATCGCTCCGTATAGTGCCCAGGCTCAGAACTCAAACATGACGTCAACTACGTGACTGTCCCACTTTTCAATTAATTCAAGAACATTTGGGTTAGTAACAGGTCTGGTTCTCACTATTCAAGAATGCGAATTGTAGTTGGCAAGTAAAACTGCAAATTCCCTCAATGCCAGCTGCCTCCGTAAAAATCCTCTTATACTCGTAGCACGATGAACAGAAAATCAATGCATTTCATAATCAATAAATCTATAAGGCATGTGAAGGGGTCTATGTTGGCATAACCGAAACGACTCCAAATAAGCCACAAAGCAAGTACAATCATGAACTACACCAAGCCGGGCAAGAACGCTGTTCTTCAACACGAAAAGTTGCATTGTGACGCGTGCTCTAGCCCGGAACGTTAAGCGCAATATAAGCACAGGCCAGCAGGGGAGCGGGGAGGGGAAACAACTGCTCGGGCACCGTACAAGGCAACTGAGCATAGTGCAAGTACACCGTTAGTCCACTTGCTACTAAGTGAGAACAATGTTCCTGTATCTGCCTTTAAGCACATTATCGAAGAAATTTAGAAAATAAAAGGAGCTGATCTGCAGGCTGATCCAGGCATTTGCCGTAACTTTTTATTAAACAAAATGGTTACATTCGACAGTCTACCTTGGGGATGGATCTCTGTGTCGTCTCCTAGGTGATGCTGGCGAGTGGCTCCTCCTCCTCCTGATCTCACCATTTCGGGCTGCTGGCCCTCTGCCCTGCCTCTTGGGTCCTTCATCCTCCGAAGACGATGAGGATGATCCCGTCTCTGAAAACAGAAATGACAACGAACAGAGAGAAGCCTGCATTAATATCTGCTTATACCCACTACAACGTACGCATGAGAAACGCGGGGATCAAAAAGCACCGCACTGTTCATGAGATGGGCACAGGCAGACACAGGCACACCACAGGTGAAGACAGTGTGTGTGAGAAGGTGAGGATGGAGAAGAGGGACACCAAAAGAAAAATGTAATAAACAAATAAATAAATAAAAACAAAAATAAATAAAATCAGTGACAACCTGAAGATGACTGCTGATTCTGCCTGCGATACTGCCGTCGCTGCTGGACAGAATCGGCCGCAGCCCCCTTCCCCACCTTATCCTCCTCTGAAATGCAAAGCAGTGAGGGGTCTATTCAGTGCCCAAGAAAAAGCAAGACAGTACACACTCCCCCCACCTGCACACACACACATCAAAATAAAAAAAAAAAATTCTATACCACATTATAGTCCTCTATGGACCATACAGTGTATCCCTGTGAAAGGCAGAGCTGTAAGGAACAGCATCAGTTCTATAGTCCTGTACTTGATTACCACTGTCTTGTACATTTTAGTCTTTTCCCTGCTCTAACACACCCACTTCAACTCAGGGGATGTAAATAAGCTGGTTAGTTGGATCAGGTGTGTTGCAAAGGATGCAAAGTGTCATTGATGAGAAGCATAAGCATGTAGTTCGCCAGAAGTTCTAGAAAGCACACACTTCATATGGTCACAATGCTCAATAGACCCATTAAAGCTAACAAAAGGTTTTCATTCTAGTTATTAGAGTGGAAGTAGCTCCCTCTTGTGGACAATCTCGTTAAAATGTGAGTGAGTTGAAGGTCAGGGTCTGTTTTACAGAAACTTTCATTCTTTTTGTCTTAAGTTAAGATCTGACAAGTGAAGATAAGATTTCTCACAAATTCATGTTACAAAAGCAAATCTCAATTTAGGAATCATCTTATCTTCCAGCATCTTCTGAAGTTAGGAAATCTTAACCAAAAAGCCAGGCTTTTTTCCATTTTCTGCCTGACATTACACTTTTACTCAAGCAGTACATAATCTAGAATTTCATGCTGTAATGTTACTGAAAAGCCTTCTAAATTGTAACTGACAACATTTAAAAGATATGGAAATGAATCTGTAATGATCAATATATGATCATGTGATATATATATATATATATATATATGATTTAACTTTATTAATTAATTAGTGGTAACTAAAATATAAAGAGCTGATGTCCCCCAACACTTCCTGCTTTTAACACTTGTGTCATCAGGGTTCTACTTTCACCATGCAAAATTCGGAGTTGATTCCTCCAACTGATTTGAAGCTACTCAAGCTAACTCAAACTAATGTCCTGTGCCCCTAGTGGCCTCTCCAAGCGGCCTTTTTGACTTTTCCAAGTAACCTCTTGAGGTCTCCAAATTCCCCCAGCCTCTCCTACATCTAAACAACTTATTTCCACTGGACCAAAGTATGTTTTATCTATTTTTTTTGGCAATATCTTATAACATATCATAATTTTTGCACCTTGCCTGAGGAACTGACATGCACTTCTCTGTTCGCTATACAGCGAGTGTGCCTGCTGAGGCAAGTTTCCTCTCGCGCCTCTCAAATGAGCGTCTTGATAACTTGGCGCCTGATTGGCGTATAGACTTGGGGGGGTGTGTTGTTGGAAAGCTTAGAGTCTCAGCTTTTCAGTGATGTGTTTTGAAGAGTTCGCAGCCGTTCATATTTTAATCACTTTTTGAAATTGTTGTGTTTTATTTTGACCGACTGTTTTTCCTGAGCACAAAAATGAGGACTACTAACGAATGGATTGAAGGAAAGACAAGTTTGGTCCCGTTTTGAAGAAGACAACCAAACGTAGGCGCGAGTCCTGCTGTGTTGCCACTGAGATCTCTCTTGTTTGGAAAAAAATTCTTTTGATTTTAATTACAGTTGTAGATTTTAAGAGTATAATGGCTTACATCATCATAATCCTGAGAGTCAGCCTGTTCGTTTGATGTACATTATGTCCACATTGGCCAAAAAACGGCTTTATGAAAAATATGAACATTCATATTGTACCTAATATTTTGTCCTAAAAACTTTCATGGCAAGGTATTTTGTGCTCAAAATATCTATTTTTCTAATGTAATTAAAGAACAAATGGCAGGATGGATGTAAAGCCAAGATATTTAAGCTTTAATATGGTACCTTGATTGCCTATATTGCCTGTAATGTATCAGATTGTCTAAATTGCCTGTAATGTTTCAGATATACGGTTGTATACAGGATAAGATTGATTTCTGGCCCACAGGCGGGCCATGGCTTTTTAACAGGTCTTACTAGATCCAAGTGGACAATCATCTGTCGTGTTACCTAGCAACCGACCATACGTGCACAGCTGAAACAAACACGTAATCAAAATAATAAATTCTGTAATACAGTCCCTGGTCAATGACGTGTTTTGCATCCTCACACACAATGTGCAGGACAAAGGGGTACTCTAGGACTAAGCCTAGGAATAACTACACTGAAATCACTGACCTGCACACTTTAGAGTTTCTCTTGGGTTAGTGCCAAATGAACATAACATCCAGGGTGGTGGTACTATTAAAATTATAGAACAACCAAATTCTTCAGTTATGGTCACAAAGTACCTTATGATTAATTTAGGTTTTAAGTTCTACACCCTGAGCAAGCTGGTTTTGATGCTATTCAAACTGTTGAATGACCTGCACACTTTAGAGTTTCTCTTGGGTTAGTGCCAAATGAACATAACATCCAGGGTGGTGGTACTATTAAAATTATAGAACAACCAAATTCTTCAGTTATGGTCACAAAGTACCTTATGATTAATTTAGGTTTTAAGTTCTACACCCTGAGCAAGCTGGTTTTGATGCTATTCAAACTGTTAAATGAGTGCTGCAATAAGTGAAGTGAGCTGATAAATTCAAGTTAAAGCATTCAGTTCAGCATATGAACATGCATATTGCATTCTGCACCAAACTGTATACACATCTGACCAACAAGTGCTACATGCTACACACACACACACACTCACCGGATTCAGATATGTCTGATCGTCTGGGTTTGGGAGCAGGAGATGGCGACTCATTTCGTCCACCAGCACGGCGCTTTGAACCTGAAATTGACAGGACACATAAAGCAGATTTACTCACAGGACTCCAGAATGTTCCTTCTTTAACCCTATCAAGATAAAGTAGCACACATTAAATAGTGTTGTTTTAAAAGCTCTTATTTGATTGGTTTCAGTGAACTAAACCAAAAATCTGTGAGTGCTGGACATAACTGATCCTGTTCTTTTCTCAGGGTGTTCATGCACGGCTATAGCCCTTTACCGTACAATACGCCAGTGTAAGCAAGCTAAAGTATCACTACCTAATGGATACAGGAACCTAATAGCACTCACTATCACTGTAATCATACAGTATATTTATACAACAGCAAAAACTCATCAACTGACTGGTTTTGTACATGTTACTATCTGTAAAGTGCAGGAGGGGTTCATAAAGGAAGCTGGTTGGCAATTCATGAAAACATACTAACAGGCAGACTATATTTGTACCATAAATTGATGTTACTTTTCACTTTTAGGCAACAACGTAGGGAATCAGGCACTAAAATCCCACACAAGCAAAGACGGGGTAGCTGTGTCTTTACTAGTGTATTATGAGACCCGTCTTCAACGGGTTTGTAATATAAGTGGGACGGTGATATTCACTTGATCACTTGTATGTGTTACCTGACGGACTGGTGTCAGGGCCGGCAGGGCTGCGGCGTCTTCTGGACGGGCTCGAAGATGGCTCAGGGTGGCGCGGCTGTTTTCTGGGCGGTGTGACTGATCCCCTTTTTGCTGGTCTCTTATGGGGTGAGCGTGAAGAGGAGCTGCCCGAGGATGACCGAGAACGAGAGCGCCGCCTGATGGAGAAATGAGGGACAGTGTTAAAAAAAAAATGGTCTTTGGGTTTTGGACCATAAGCACTACAAACCTGGATCCTAGCATCCCTTTTAAATAAGGACAGTGGTTCCCAACAAAATAGATCTCCTTGGTGCTAAAAACTGGGATATATCTTGATCAGTTTAGTTCCAACCCTAACCTGAGACCATTTGAGCCAGTTCATAAAGGCCTTCAGAAGAATTGAAATATTATTTTATATAATGTGCGTATAACAGATGTGTGTGAACTAAACTTTCCAGGATATTAGATTTCTAGGACCAGAGCTTACAGCCCTAGAGCACAGCAAGGCTAGCCTGAGACCTGACACATTCGAGTAATGCAAAATTTCCTGTATGCAAATACCTGTGGTCTACCCATACATACATAGAACATGTCAGGAAAATAATTCATCAATGTGCAAAAGTGTGTAAACTTAATCATATTCATGCAGTACAGAAACTATAAGACACAGCTAAAATAATTCACAAGCTTATGTCTCACCATTTCATTCCAGCACAATATATAACATGGAAGAGGAAAAAAAAACACCCAAGTTTCTCTGATTTCACTAGAAGCATGCCTGAAATGAACCAATTCAAGGACCAGTTGTGTTTTACTGGAAAATATTTTGTGTCAATCACATTTTTTTTTTTTTACAGAGAGCAGCTTATTTGTTGTCCATAGTGAGGAGTCTGATGGTGTGGACAAAGGTATGCAGATGTTGAGTAAAACAAGGTGTATGAATATATGCACAAAATCAAATTAGTCATGTTTATGCTGATCTAATATTTAAACAATTTATGCAGAGATCTCAACTCGATATACTCCGATCAGGCATAACATTATGACCACCACCTTGTTTCTACGCGCATTGTCCATTTTATCAGCTCCACTTACTATATAGGTGCACTTTGTAGTTCTACAGTTACAGACTGTAGTCCATCTGTTTCTCTGCATACTTTGTTAGTCCCCTTTTACCCTGTTCTTCAGTGGTCAGGACCCCCATGGACCCTCACAGAGCAGGTACTATTTGGGTGGTGGATCATTCTCAGCACTGCAGTAACACTGACATGGTGGAGGCGTGTTAGTGTGTGTTGCGCTGGTACGAGTGGATCAGACACAGCAGTGCTGCTGGAGTTTTTAAACACCTCAGTGTCACTGCTGGACTGAGAATAGTCCAGCAACCATATCCAGCCAACAGTGTCCTGTGACCACTGATGAAGGACTAGAGGATGACCAACACAAACTGTGCAGCAGCAGATGAGCTATCATCTCTGACTTTACATCTACAAGGTGGACTGACAAGGTAGGAGTGTCCAATAGAGTGGACAGTGAGTGGACACTCCAGCAGCACTGCTGTGTGTGATCTATGTAGCTATGTAAGCTAACTTTAACACGTACGCAAGCGCTCCACTGCATTCTAAAATTCAGTTTAACCCCGGCATATACCTGCGTGCAGGCGAGCGGCTACGTCTGTGTCTGGGGGGAGGGGGCCGCCTAGGAGGGCTCCTGCGCCTGGGGGACATGCGCCTCCGCGGGCTTGGTTTGCGTCGTGGGGAATATGACCTGGAACGAGGAGAGAAGAATCCATGCAAGGTAAGTACTACTCACAACTGCTCCCTATACTGCTGTGAAATTAACTATGTGGTGCCAAACTTAGTGACTAAAGTCTCCATGGCACTAAGATTTGTGACTCCCTTTACCTGGAGCGAGACCTGTGTCGTCGTCGGGATCGTGGTGAACGAGACCGGGAGCGGTGGCGTGGGCGATCTCGTCGTCCATCCTTCTCCCGGTCCCTGTCTCGTGCTTTCAGCTTTTCTTCTGTTTTCGCGGTTTTCTCCGGAGACGCATCCTTTGTGGTCTCGGACACTGAATCCGGCTTCACCTCACCTACAAGGTCACTGGACGAGGAGAGTGGAAATGAGCTATAAAACTTTGTCTGGCTTACTGTGAGTTTTTAATCTGAGTATTCTATTCAAGCTCCTAACACAGCTGAGCAAGAATGCTCAAAAGACACTGATTTGCTTGTTGTGCTGTCAACAATTACCTGGTAGAGGAAGCCTCCTGAATCAGAGGTTCTGCCTTAGAGCGCTCTGATTGGTCAGGCTCTGGCTGAGGTTCATCTTTGTGATTTGGCGGGCTTGGAGGGGGCGAGGCGACAGGGCTGGGTTTACGACGAGGGGAACGTGAGTGACTGCGCTTCCTCTCTCGCTTTGCTGGGGAGCGAGACTTCCTCCTGGCATCAAAAGGTCAAATATTCAAACAAGGACCAACGTTGAAAACGTAATGACTTTACAGCATGAATTATTCAAAAGGGGACAGAGAATCACCCAACATCAACATTAACTCAAACCCACCTTTTAGGGCTCTTAGACCTCTCTTTGCTCTCCTTCTCCTTTTTATCTTCGTCCATCTTCTTCAAAGAGGCCAGCTTTTCCTGTTCAATCTATCACAACAAGAACAGAAAACCCCATTAGTATGAACCACAAAGTAAAGTGTAAAGCAGAAAGCAGGATCTCACTCAGTGAGAACTTAAGTGAAGCCTATTCAGTACAACACAGGACTTTAGAATAATCTTCTCTGAACAACACACAATTCTTATTTTGGCTTAAGTTAGTTACTGAAATTACTGAGACCCCCTCCTTTGTTCTCTTTAATGTTTGATTTCTGAGAAAACTTACTTAAATCAAAGAGCCTGAGAGTTCAGGAATTTCTTTAGCCCTCGTTCTTGGCACCAGTAAAGGTAGGTCTCGACTTAAACCTGTTAGATAACCTTATCTCTCACCTGTCTCTGCTTGATCTCCTCCTTCTTCTGCTCCAGGAAGGCAGATGGGATGCCGGCAATGTTCTCTTGGGCACTAAGCAGCAGAGGCCAGAGGTCCTTCATGAACTCTCGAGCGTTCTTTCCGTTCAGAAAACCGGTCAAGTTGATCTGCATCATCTTACCATCTGGATTCTGCAACACACACCAAGGATGGAGAGAATGGAAAACAGAGAGCTTAATACAGAGATGAAATGAGAAAGAACTAAAGGATGGGCTCTGACGGCCAATCCTAACATCTATCCTCTCTAAATACAATCAGGAAACAAATACTTAAGGAAAGCACAAAATAAACACTTTGTATTAGGAAACAGGCGCTGCTGTCTTTTTCTACGCTCAGACTCGGTTGTGACTGATGGTCCGAGTGTCTTGAATTCAAGCTCATTTAGAATCAAAGAGAAAACTAAGAGGTTCCCTCAAATGCATGCATTACTTATTCTCTGGTCTTAAAAACCACCTTCCTTGTAGACAAAAAAAAAAAATAAAATAAAATAAAAGAGCAAATAAAGTAATGAGAGCAGAGCTTTCATTGCAAGACCCATCCCCACCTCTAGGCTATTTTAAAAGTTTGTCTCTCCCTCTACTTCCCCTACTGTTGTGACACAGCAACAATAAATCCACAATACAGAGTGTGTCAAAACCCCACAAAGCAAGTACAGTCCCGGTGTCTTCAGTGTGCGCATCCTGCAGGCTCTGCGGGCTCGGGGAGGGGGATTGGAGCACCCGCCACTCCTGCACAGACAGGGACGCTCCACTGGCTTGCTTCCGCCTCCCTACTGCTTGTGACTCAACCACCTTGAGTATAATGTTATATCATTTATCTAAATTGCAAGAGACGAACAAGCAATAATGAGTACACATAGCATGTAAAAATGGGTTTTTATTTTTCAATCAATCTAAGTCAAGAGCAGAAAGGAAAAGTAAGGAGGTAAACTGACCTATAAAGTCTACAGCAGGGTTCCTCGAAACTGGTTCTGGAAGGCTGGTGTCCTGCATATTTTGGTGACTTCAATGCTCAAACACACCTGATTTAACTCATCTGTTAACAGTCAATTTCAGTGGGTGTGTTTGAGAACGGAAATCACCAAACAGTGCTCGACACCGGCCCTCCATGACCAGATTTAAGGAACCCTGGTCTACAGTATAAGGTATCAATCATATAATATTGCTGGCCTTCAACATTGAGATATAGTTATAGAACAAAAGGCAATTTTCTACTGGAAGGGAGAGTACGTATACATTTCTGTTTTTTCTGTTAGACTGAAGAAGGCTGATCTGAGACGAGACGATACCTTTATGGAGGCCTCACCACAGTAACCGAAGACTCAAAACCAACTTTAGACAGTAATTTGTCAAAGAAAGGAGACTGGCTTTAAGAGGAAAACTGTCTTAACTTCTACCACACTTATTGCTACCACAAACCAACAAGGTAGGTGAAAATAAAGCATTAACAAAGGATGCACTGTGCTGTTTTCCTAAGTAACACAATGCAATGCTGTTCCTCCACTGTCTAATGAAAATGTCCAATTAATATCGTTAAAATAGTATTGTACAAAATATGGTGTTAAATATGATTACTTTAAAAGAGACAGCTGGCAAAGTTGCACTACCGTTCAAAAGTTTGAAATCACTGGGCGCGTTAATTATTTTTATGATTTTATATACAGTGAGAGGAGATGCACTGACATTTCAGCCACTGAAACTGTCTAACCAAAAATGGCCAAAAAGAGAAAGAAAAAACAAATCTTTGAATATTGAATATTTAGTGACTAAAACACTTCAGGGACATTAGACAAGCAATTTATAATAACTGTTTAAGCCGAGTATTAAGAGGCAGCACAACACCCAAGAGTTTTCCACTACAGGTTTGATACAACCCGAGACATGACCTGCTCGCTACACAGAATACAACAAAAAAAGAAAACAGAAAGGAAAGTTTGGTTTTCGGATTCAACCAAGGATTTTAATTTCAGTGCATCACTAACCGTAGTAACTCCAACATAACTAATTTAATGTACACAAACTACACTCTATATGCATTTTAAAGTGGTTTAGTCAGTATTTCAAGTGTTTTGGGAACAGCAATAACTTAATGAATGATAACATTCAAGAACTATCTATATGATGTGTTTGGTCAATGTGTCAGCCTTGTGATTTGATCACTTCAGTAATGAGGCATTTAATATATTCAAAATATATTAATGTTTTGCATTCTGTCGTTTTAGAATTATCTACAGCTCTGTTAAGCATAGACACAAATTTCTGAATTGCTAAATCAATAATTATTTGAAATCGGTGAAATTATGTTATATATGTTAATGATCCTACAGGGAAATTGGTCATTTTGCCACCTATGATATTTATCCATGCACAAGCAACAAAACTAGTTTAGTACTAGTGAAAACTTTGATTCCAAACTTTTAAAACTGTGATTCCAAACTTTTCAAAAGGTGATTCCAAACTTTTCAAAAGGTGATTCCAAACTTTGAACGTTAGTGTACAAGTTTTCTGAAGCAATTCATGGGTTTTCTGCTTCTGCGCAGTTTGTGCCAGAAAACCCATTTGGTATTTATAATTAGAAATGTTACGATAAATTTCAACTCTGGAATAAAGAGCAAACAACTGATTAAGTTGACACGATTCTAATGTCATAATCCCTGTTCACAACTCACCTCAAAACACAAAGTTCATCATCAAGGGAGAGTTGGGTTCAGTGAGACTTTGGGCTCAGGTGAGATCTAATTAGGTGTTGGTGCTATACTTCTGTTGCAAGGTATAACATCCATATTGGTTCAGGCCTTTTAAATCATAAATCACATCATCATTAGAAAAAAAGTGTTGTTTAGATAGATATTTTCACACATCACAGCATCTTCAGCAAGTCCATTTGATTCTTTACCCATTTCTACCAGACAGAAGACACAAAACTGGGCCTCTCTCTTTGTGTTGCTACAGTATTCGTTCCAAGTATGATTCTAAGCACGTCTGATGCATTTTCACTCTTTTCCAATCCCTCTGCCATCCAGAGAGAGTACAAATGTACAACTACTGCAACCCTGTCTGCATGTATCCAAAGAAAGGAGGAGGAAAATGGAATCAATGAAAGCTACCTTCTCCTCTAGCTGGTTGAAAACGAACTCGATGACGACGTCGTCCTCGAAGCCAAGGATCTCCGTCACTCGCTGGGTGATCCAAGGCTTGATGACCTCCAAGTTTACCTTGGTCATATCCACCTGAGAGACAAAATATTCAGATAAGGAAATGCGGAGCCCCTATAAAAAGACTTCTAACCACTCACTGAACTTCTAGGATTCAATTCAGTACCAACCAATAATCTACAACATGAAAACGATACAATTTCCCTTTTGGCTGCATGTGTCCTCCTTAATAAGGACAAAGTCTAAAGTCTAAGTGAGCTCAAATTTGCCCTTTTTGCTGTGACACTACAACAGAGAAATCTGAGAGGTTTACACAAAAGATTAATCAGTTCTTTCCAAATACAAAAACAGTGTTTCGCACCTTTTTCTCCAGGCATTCTGCAAACTTCAGCTGCTTCAGCAACTTCTTGTGTTTGTTGCTGAAGCGATTATCTTGCTCCGCGCTCGTTCCCTGCAAAGAAGAGCACAACTCATTAACTGGAACACAAAGGTGCAGGTGGGGTGAGAAGCACGTGCAGGTGGTGTTGGGTAGTAAATAAAATGACCATATCTGTGGTGCAGCCATCGTGACCCCTGGTTCCTATCAGCACCACTATAGCTACAGAAATCAGAGTTTGTACGTTTCTCTACAATTAACCACTTCATGTCAAACCGCCCTGAATGACTTTACATCACAACGACGGAATTGGGCAAAATTTTTGAAAACTCGGTGGAGCTCCCCTTTAACATGAGCCAGCCTGGTAAAGGTTTATTGGTAGCGTTGCTCGGCCACCAGTCAGGCGAGGCTGAAGTCGGCTTCCTACTCGCCAGCTTCTTGTTCCAAGCTTCCCGTTCCACCTTAAATGGTGCAGCTGTTACACTCTGGTGCCCCAGGCCTAATATGCTATAACGTAACTGCTGCAACATTTAAGGTGGAACGGGAAAATACGAACACGAAGCGGGCGAGAAGGAAGCTGACTTCAGGTTCGCTCCAGTCGGCCGGTTAATCGGCACCATTCCGTCATTTATACCCGTACAGTGTTAAAAGCGTTACTGTGGCATATTATTTAGCCTCGGCGCAGCTAAGTAAACCGAAAATATCGCCAATTAGACAAGTTCTCTTCTTATCCGACTCGTCCGCCATTTCACTCCTACTTAGCCCACGAGCTAACTAGCTAACGCTAACGATTAGCATCGCGTTTTTTTTCTGTCTTTACCGAAAATACGCGAGATTAATAAATAACCGAAGACAAACAGAATGTATCCAGGTTCTCCGGTCTTCTACCAGAGCGCCGTAAATCCCAGAATCTGTTAACTTACGCGGAAAAACCCCGCGTCCATTTCCACCGAGAGCTGCGACAAAAACCGTCCGTGGAAAACGCGCTACCGCTTCCCACAATCCGCCGCGCCTCGTGATGTCATTTACCAGACGGAGCCCGGCTGCGTCCCGATAGACGCTCTGGCGCCCTGTGCACTCACAATACTTAGAGCGCACTAGTGAGGACACTAGTTAGTGTAAACCTGTTTACTCTGCCAGTAAGTCAAAGTCAAAGGTACACAGACCATTATTATTACTTAGCATCTCATTATTATGACTTACTATCTCATAATAATTACTTAGCAACCATAATCATTACTTAGCAGCTCATAATAATGAGACTATCTCAAAATTATGACTTAGCATCTCAAAATCATGGCCTATTATCTCATGATTATGACTTACTTTGTCATAATTATGACTTAGCATTTCATAGTTATAACTTACTTTGTCATAATTATGACTTAGCATCCCATAGTTATATTTTCCTTTGTCATAATTATGACTTAGCATGCCATAGTTATGAAGTACTATCTCATAATTATGACTTAGCATCTCATAATGAGACTCTCAACATTATGAATTAGCATTTCATAGCTAATCTCACAATTATTACTTACTTTCACATAATTATGACCTATTATCTCATGATTATGACTTATTTTGTCATAATTATGACTTAGCATCCCATAGTTATGACTTACCTTCTCATAATTATGACTTAGCATGCCATGGTTATGAAGTACTATCTCATAATTATGACTTAGCATCTCAGAATTATGACTCAGCAGCTCATAATGAGACTCTCAACATTATGAATTAGCATTTTATAGCTAATCTCATTATTACTTTCTCATAATTATGACTTAGCATTTCATAGTTATAACTTACTTTCTCATAATTATGACTTAGCATTTCATAGTTATAACTTACTTTCTCATAATTATGACTTAGCATCTCATAATTATGACTTACTAGCTCATAATGAGACTCTCTCAAAATTATGAATTAGCATCTCAGAGTTAATCTCATAATTGTCACTTACTTGAGATTGAGAAAAGTAAGTCAGAATTAGGAGAAAAATGTCTCTTTATTATGAGAAAGTAGGGCTGAAAGATGAATTGTTTTTATATTGATATTGCAATTTTAAAGAGAGCAATTTTCAAATTCCAAGAGCTGCAGTTTTAATTATAGCCAAAATTATCAACATGTTTTAAGTGGGAAAATTTAACCTAATAACACAGAGAATTTGTGAATTGCTTTTAGATGAAGTAGATCAATCAGAATCCATGTGCTGTGACATCACAATCACAACAAGTCAGAAAAAGTTTAAGTGTTGGCCCTGTTGGTAAAAAATGAATGGACCTCAATTTATAGAAATTAACTGCAATTTAAATTGCAGTCGAAATACTGGTCAGAAAAATTACAATTATTAGTCATTTAGCCCACATCGTTCAGCCCTAGAGATAGCAAATAATTATTATGAGATACTAAGTCATAATAATGAGATGCTTTGTCATAATTAGGAGATACTAAGTCATAATTATGGAGAAATTACTCATCATTATGACTTACAAAATGGCTGTATTTTTCTCCAGTGGCTCCCATATCTTAACGTAAATTGCTTGTTTGTCACCACCAGCATCTAGCTTTAACCTAATTGGTTCCAATACACTATATAGTTGGATCGCATCAGTTCGACATATTTAGCTGTTTGGCCAAATAAAAGGGTCACATTTATAACGATTCTAGAGACCAGGCCCTGCTGCTTGTCCTGTGAGGGCCTGTGCTATTACTCTCCCTCCATTTCAGCTCAGCATTCTTTGGATTGCACGGCAGGATGTAGGAGCATAGACAATCCAAAAATGAAGAGAAACACCACTCCAAGGAAACGAAACAATTTATTTCTTTTTTTTCCTGATAAATAAACTTGCACTGCAATTTTGTCCACCAATTCGGCATGGGAATATTTAACTGATTTGCCTTCAAGATGAAACGTTAATGGAGCATCAAGGCTTATTTCAACACATGTCGGCCCCCCCAAAAATCACAACCCATTGATGAAGACAGAGAGAGTGTTTCAACGTAAAGTTGACTGTCTTGTGTTCCTCCAAGGCCGATTCAGCGCCATCTCTTTTCAGATTGTCCAGGAGAGGCTCCAGCTCGAATACTACTACTAGATTCTGAATGGCAATACTGAGCAGATTGTTTGTGAACTGCATGAATTAGGTTCATCTTCTGAACTGGCTGATCTGAAATGGGACTGAGCTCAGCCGCAGCGTTCTCTAGTTTTTTTTCCTCCTGGGCCGGGCCAGCATAAGGATTTGATGTCTGACTGTTCTTGCAGTGTTGTATTATCATGAGTTGGACTCGAAACAAATGGGTATTGACTGTCTACATCGTACCCAGCCATTGGTGAGAGCAAGATAGAGAAAAAAGTGGGATTTACTTTGAAAACTGAATAAAAAAAGAGATACTTCTATTATCCTACTCATGTTTAGAATCACCAGACAGAAGGACAGAAGGACGTAGTTTGAACTTTGGCATGAAAGGCTAACGTTTTGTGAGTGGAAGAGGAACAGTGAGATACAAGGCAGCTTTTTGGTGTTTATCCAGTATGACATGATACATTACAGATGAGGCCTCTAGTTCTGAACTAGATGGCACCTGTTTACAGTACCCTTACATTGAGCATAAAGACAGACTGACTCCTTTTTCATTTTGTCTTTGCATTTGCTGGTATGCTCTAAATGAAGTATATAGATACACAGGCAATGATATAACTTGATATAGCTAAACCACACCACCAAACTAAGCTAATAGAGGGTCTACAGCCCTTAAAATACTATAAAAAATAAATAAAGCCTCGAACCAGATAAGACCGTGAGGAGGAACAACTGGGTTTAAGAGAAGCACCCCGAGCCAAACCCTAAAAATCCCCACCGGTAACACAGCACTCTGGTCAGCACGCTTAAGACGATGTTACCATCAGCCTGACGGCCTGTGATGGCTTTCTGAGGTCACAGAGAATGGATATACTGCAGCAGCCGAATCAAACCAACTAACCAAGACAACCAGAAATTGTCAATTGTGAGCAAAAGCAGGATGGGAAAGCGTGAAAAAATGGATGTGGCCCTGAATTATGAGTTTATGAGAGAGAAAGAAATGACAAATGCATCAGGAGGTTGCGACCACTTTAGGCCGCAAAAATTAGCTTCACTCGATTCTGCTAACTGGTTGTTAGCCAGTACAGCATTTTTAGTTGTATTCCTTTAACCAGATGTTCTTTCACCAAAGGTAACTGGGAGAAAAGCCTAGCTTAGCCTGGCTGCTAATTAGCCAAATTCATTAGCAAAAACACTTTGTTTAGCCTGGCTGCTAATTAGCCAAATTCATTAGCACGAACACTGTTTAGCCTGGCTGCTATTTAGCCAAATTAATTAGCAGAAACACTGTTTAGCCTGGCTGCTATTTAGCCAAATTAATTAGCAGAAACACTGTTTAGCCTGGCTGCTAATTAGCCAAATTCATTAGCATGAACACTGTTTAGCCTGGCTGCTATTTAGCCAAATTAATTAGCAGAAACACTGTTTAGCCTGGCTGCTAATTAGCCAAATTCATTAGCATGAACACTGTTTAGCCTGGCTGCTATTTAGCCAAATTAATTAGCATGAACACTGTTTAGCCTGGCTGCTATTTAGCCAAATTCATTAGCAGAAACACTGTTTAGCCTCGCTGCTAATTAGCCAAATTCATTAGCAGAAACACTTTGTTTAGCCTGGCTGCTATTTAGCCAAATTAATTAGCATGAATGCCTAGCTTAATCTGGCTGCTAATTAGTCATTTCATTAGCTACTGCAGTGAGCTACAGTAACAGCTTTTATGAGAAAGGAAACGGTGTGGAATGACAGAGATATCAGGAGGTCATGATGACATTGTTACGCAAAAAGAAAAACTAGCACCCAAAGTTTCTGCCTATTCCCTCAGGACAGAAGGTACAGTCATTAAGGAATACATCCCTGAAAAAGACCAAGGCTGCTGAGAAGTGTATCTGTGTGTGTTTGTGAGTGTCAGGAATCCACAGGTAGCGCTAGTCTCTGATGAGAAGGTTAGCTTATGTAGAAGACTCTCAGTGGCTGGAATAATGTGAAAAGTCCAGGTTTGAAGACACAGCCCCCCTTCACCCTGAGCATGGTGGGGGATGGTGATCCATGTGGTCAGAGGCAGACAGCTGAACTGCTAGCTAACAGGCAGGCCTGCGTTGGTCCTCTTGTTCCGGACACGGTTCAGCATGTCCGTGACTAGCTCCGGGAGACCGTAGGCTGGCTTCCAGCCCCAGTCCCGCCGAGCATTGGAGTCGTCGAATCGCATCGGCCAACTGTCCGCTATAGGCCAAAAGACAAAAAACAAACAAAAAAAAACATTAACAGCTTTTCAATGAGTTTTACACTGACTGTGTAGTCTGGGTACCTTACTGTCCTTATTATAACTATACATGTAGCAATGCTTGACAATAAATGATAACAATAATTATTGAAATCAAACTTTATTTCCTTATTGACAATGTGCATTTGAGATATTTATATATTATTTTTTACTGTTTGTTGCACATAAACAGAAATGGCACTAAAATGTGCAATAAAAATGGGATATTAAGTTTATTCTCTGTATGGATGTGGTAACTTATTTTTACTTCGAAAAAGAACAAAACATGCAATTTGACATGGGGTGTTTAAACGTTTGCATACAATTGTGTTACTTTAATTAGACTAATAATATAAAAAATTATCCATACTGAATAATAAATATCCCGATACCATGTCATGCAGCCATGCTTGGCAATGCATTTGGCATACTAATGAATGAATGAATCAATCAATCAATTAATCAAACAATCATTCATTCACTCTTTTTATTAATTTTGTCATTTTTTCATACCGATGTTCTGGCGGACTGGGTCGGGTTTGTAGGTGACCGTCAGGTCTGGTACATGTTTGCGGATCTCTGCTGCTACTTCCTCAGGTGTGAAGCTTATGGCTGCGATGTTGTAGGTGCGCAGGGAGAGCTGGCACTCGTCTGCTTGCATGAACTCTATGGTGGCCCGATGGCAGTCAGAGATGTGCATCATGGGTAAACGTGTTTGCGGGCGCAAGTAGCACTCATGGTGGCCGCTGCTGAGAGCATCATGAAAGATCTGAACGGCGTAGTCTGAGGAGAGAAAGGAAGTGTAACCTATGCAAGCCATAGACCAACTAAAAAGCAACTGAATAAATTTATTAAAATGTATGTGAATAAATAATAGATTACCTTACTGTGACAATATGTAAATGTAATGAGTGCAATAAAGCTGTAAGTTATATAGCAGAGTTCATCAAACAGCACTGTGTTAGCCGCTAAAGGCTAAGGCGTTACCTCAACTCAACACAAGTTGAGCAAAATTTGTACAGTGATTTTATAGCCAGTGTGAAACAAGCACAAATAAAACATAACAATGCTTTTAACCCTATAAAATGTAATGCATGTAGCTCATAAAATGAAGGTCAGTTGTGTTTAAAACATTACAAATTCGACTCCCGACCATGCAAACTGCATGTAACAGGACACAGAAACAGTTAAGCCCTGCTAAGTCCCATCCAGGGTTTTGTACACTGTTAGCCACTTTTATAGCTGAAGCACTTATTTAACTAAATGTGACTAGCAAATTCCAACCTAGTTAATTAGCTAAAAAGTAAATTCAGTCATCAAGCTGGCTGCTGCTACTAGTGTTTACAGCTATGCAATGTACTTTTGTTCATTTTTACTGATATCAATATGTTATACAAAACCACATAAGCAAGTCCATTTGAGATTACTTAACAACTTCAGGTAAGTGTTTGGGCATGCAGTTGGAGCAATGCTAATTTTTGGGGTATAAGTTTCCAAAAAGTCCTTATAGGAAAGTCTGTTCACTCGGCGACCATCCTGGCAATGAAGTTGCAGTTATTTCCAGTCATACAGGACCAGACTCCTCTCTCTTTGAATGAAGAGAGACCAAAATAGGTCAAACTACCATTTTAAAAGCATATTTGAAAGCATGGGTAACATCTGATAAAACCTCATTAATAATTTGTAGTGTTTGCCTCAATAACGCACAAAAAAACAGGTTTTGGATGCAGATCTCTACAGTGAGGGGGGCTTTTCCTGCTAGCGGCTTAACCAGCAAACATATTGGCTCCTTTTACATTTACGGTATTTGGCAGATGCTCTTATCCAGAGCGACTTACAATTTCATCATTTTTTACACAGGTAGGCGAAGGTGGTGTTAGGAGCCTTGCCCAAGGACTCTTATTGGTATAGTGTAGGGTGCTTGCCCAGGCCAGGGATTGAACCCCAGTCTACAGCGTAGAGGTGTTACCCACTATGCTATACCAACCAATAGCTCTACACCCCAGATGGGACTCAAACCCACAATCCCTGGCTTAGGAGGTATCCAATCTTTTATTGATGGGCAGGACTTTCTCTGTAAGCTGACAACATGTTGAGCGTTACAAGCTTTTCCATTCATATTTCAATCAGTGACCGCTCTCCTCCTTTATTATATCTCTGGTATCCAGAACTTGTTAGCTATATTGGCCTTGTAGCTCCATTGCAAAACTAAAAAAGCAAACTTCCAGCACCATGTCTTGGCTGATCAACTAACCATGGGGTTAAGGAGGAAAATTGCATAAAATTGATTTTTTTTGACTATTTAAACACACTAAACTGTTGGTTCAACCCTTGTATGATGCGTTTATTTGCCTTATTTAAGCGACTGAACAGATGATGGTGAGAAATAACAGGAAGAATGTAGCAGTGAATAAGTTATTAGTGAGTGGGTGAATGTTTGCTGTTACCTGTGGTGCCTCCGCCGGGCTTCGTTGTGGCCGAGATAACTCCAGGATAACGCAGACAGCGGAAATCCAAGCCATATTTATGGTGGAGATACTGATAGCAACAGTTTAACATTTACCACATCATTGCCACATAACAAATATCATACTATATGAATCTTATGTGAAATTTGTGTGAGATGTAACTTGACTGTACAGTACCATTTAAAAGTTTGGAAGCACTTGTCATATGCATAATTTTTGCTATTTTATATACAAAAATATCAACATAATGTAGGTTTATGTATTGATGTTATATACACCAAAATGTATTTTAGCTATTTTAGTCAATATTTTAAGAAGTGTGTTAATGTAATTGTCAACTTACAGTAATCTTCTGTGAAGATACCCACTCAAGATTTGATCACCATAGTTGAAATGAGAAGTGAATTTTGTTGTAACCTCTTGATGGTGTACAATTTTCTCAGTCATGTTCTGCTCATTATCTTCAGCTATGTTCTTTTTTCTAGACATATCTACAATTTATTATCACTAATTATTTGAAACCTCTCAATCACAGAATATATTATAATAATTGTATAGATTAATTTTTAAACTTTTGAATGGTGATTCCAAACTTGCAAGTGGCAGCGTAAAAATGCTGACCTCGCCCATCAGCTCTCCGTGAACTTTGGAGACGCCGTAGATTGTCCGAGGCCTCTGGATGCAGAGATCCGGGGCGGGGTCTCTGGGCGAGGAGGGGCCAAACGCCCCGATGGTACTGGGCACAAAGAGACGCAAACAATTCTCCAGAGCCAGATCTAAAACATTATGCAAACCTGAGAGGAGAGGAGAAGAGAGGAGAGGAGAGGAGAGGAGAGAAACAGAAGAGCGAAGACAAGAGGAGTGGAGAAGGTTGAGAAAAGGAGAGGAGAAAGATGAAAACAGATAAAAGACAGTACAGGGTGCGGAGGGAGTATTAAGCAAAAGTCAGAGACCACTCTTCAGTTATTTCATTTCAAGCTGAAGTTATTCTTTCAGGAGATATTTCTAAGCAGATTAGAACTGCGGTTCAGAGAAAATGGGATCCCTAACAACTGTGCAAGACCTGGCAGACCACCAAAACTGTCCCCATTAGATGAACAGCACTTAAATCTTTCATCTTTGAGAGAGAGGAGAAAATCAAGCTGCTTCAGATCTGAAAACATCCACAGGTGTTTCTGTCCATCCTGCCACTGTGAGAACTCAGCGCTATGGGTCTGAAAGGATGTGTAGCTGCTCAAGAAGCCCTTAGTGAGGAAAATTGCAAATCAAACATTCAACAGACTGACCACTTCAGAGTCCAGACCTCAACATCTCTGAGTGTGTTTGGGATTACTTGGATTGTGAGAAGCAGAAAATGGAACCAACTTCTGAACTTTGGAGATGTGGATAAATATCCCTGCAGTTTTAGTGGACACTATTGCTGTGCAATATTCTGCTAAATATATGTGTTCTGCTCTTTTTGTTCTGATAATGCATAAAATGAAATAAATGCAGGGTCCTCTCTGACTTGCACAGGACTGTTCATATTTTATAGCATCAACTGTTTTATCGTTTAAGAAAGACACAGGGACAATTTCCACGGACCTTCAAGGTAAGTGCCTTAAAGAAATAGTTCTGCAATAAATAGATTTCCCCCTTAACCCAAGTGTAGCTTGCCAGTATGTGAAGACATCTACAAAGCAAAAGGAGTAGTTCTTGGTGGGGTATAGGCTTCTACAAAGTCATTATAGGAAAGTCTGTCCACACAGCGGCCGTCTTGGCAATGCCGCCAGACAGTTATTTCCACTCAAATAGGACCAGCCTCCCATCTCTTTGAATGGGTAAAGCTACAAAACCAAAACCAGAAGCCATATTAATGTTTCAAATACATATTTAAAATCACTGATGAAATCTGAAAAAGCAGAGCAAATAGTTTGTAGCATTTGGCTCAAATAAGTGATTTTTCAGCTTCTTCTGGCCTCTGCGACTGCTCAAATCCCCACAACAAGGAGGCCTTTTCCCACTTGCGGCTTAAACAGCAAGCTGATGCAAGGGAGAGCAAGGGCGGTGCTTCCCCCCATAAACAGGTGCCATGTTGAGCTTTTCCATTCATATTTTAACCAGTGACCTCTTCTCCTTTATGATGTCTCTGGCTTCTATTATTTGTTAGCTATATTAGCCTCATAACTCCAATGCAAAACTAAATAAGCAAACTTGTCTTGGCTGATTGACTACATTTGGGGCAAAGAGGGAAAACTGTATACATTTTTTTCCCCCAAACTCCTCTATTAATGCTGTCAGGGCTTAAATAAAGCATAAAGTAGCTGTGGTTTTCTTAAATCAACTCACCTGTGATGTTGATGGTCCTGGCTAGTGTGACATTGGCCTCTCCCACAGCACTCAGCAGGGCACTGTAATGCACCAACCACGTGATCCGGTTATTCACCACCAGCTCCCGCAGGTTTTTATAGTCCAGCACATCGGCATACACGAAGGGACCTGTTCAGCTCATTGATACATCCATATGATTTCCACATACCAATGTACTGATTCCATGTCGAAATTCATTGACAAACAGTGTTAAATCAGCACAGAACAATGACTACAAAAGAAGCAAGAACTACACTACATGTCCAAAAGTATCCACACTCCTTATAATGAGTGAATTCAGCTACTTTAAGGTGCACCCATGGCTGACACAGGTGCACAAACAGCTTCTCTAATCTCCATAGAACAGCACTGACCAATAGAATGGGATGATCTGGAGCAGCTGCACATGAGCTTAACGTCACCTGGCCCAATTTGTCAGCTGGAGAGGTATAAAACTACCCAGCACTGGGCTGTAGAGCAGTGGAACTGCATTCTCTGGTGAGTTGAAGTGATCCAGAGCTAATCATTTGATATCAGTACATGACCTCACTAATGCTCTTGTGGCTGAGTGAAATCAAATCCTCACATCAATGTTCCAACATCTTGTGTAAAGCCTTAGCAGAAGGGTAGAGGCTGTTACTGCAATAAAGTGGGGACCAATTCCCTCTTAAAGGGGACCTTTTTTTGTTTTTTCCCTTTCTTTTATGGTGTTATGCTGAAATGTTGGAATTCCAGGCTCTTTCTCTGTTACATGGTGACATCATCTCATACACAGTCCTTACTGCCCGCCTACTGGCAAGCTTGGCACACCCTCAAACAATGCCCAGCAACTACTGAAGGCTGGGAAGAGTTTGTTCAGTTTTGGGATCTGACTCTGTCTCACACTGATATGGTACAACTGACAGCATTAGAAAAACAGCCACACCAATGTTTACAGCTGCTCCAGAGAGAAGAGCCTGTCTGATAGTGATGTTACATTCGCAATCCGGTTCCTTTCAACAGCTATTTGGAAAGAACAAAGGGAGCCAAGTCACACTTGAGAGCTGTTCTTTTACCATTGTGCCCAAATTTCACTGTCAACCCTAAATCCACTCCACTCCCCACTGAACATTGAGAACCAGCTTATCACAAAAGATTGATGGTGTTATGTTACACTCCTTATAAAGGCAGAATGAGCAGGATTTGTCAGTTGCTGTTTAAACACACCATTCAAAGTTGGCGGAGAGAGAGACAGCAGCGGTGGATGAGCAAGCTAGAGAATGAATGAAGAGAGAGCGTGGCTTTATTTTCTGATTGTTTCATGGTGGTCATGTTCTAACGCCTCTGCACAACCCTGCGGGAAGGATTTTGTAGAAATGCAGCCGAAGGGCTCACTTCATCCTGTCTGCTGCTGTGGCCTCACTCTGCACTGTATGTCCTTGTCTGCAGGCTGCAAGACAGGGGTGGAACATGTAGGGGCGGAACAGCTCTGGTGGTTGACTAGTCAGAACAGAGTGGGAGTTGCTGACCAATAAGAGAACACTGGGCTCATCAGGAGGTGGGATTAAAGACGTATGAGCTATAACAGAATGTTTCAGGGCTGGCAGTATGAGACAGATGATGTGTTTTGGGGGATATTGAAGCATTTAAATCTATTTTAGCAGACCCCAAAAGTAAAATGCTGACAATTATGAAAATGAGCATAATAGGTCCCCTTTAATACCTTTGATTTCAGAAGAAACGTTGAGCAGGTGCCTATAAAGTTTGGACATATAGTGTACACTTCTACGCAAATTTTATTGGAACATAGTTTCCAGTAAAATTAATAGCAATTTCCCAATATCTGCCCCAGGACTAACATACCCATGTTGAAAACGTCGGCTGGAGGTCTCTTGATGTCAGACAGGATCACGTTTTCTTTCCCATACTGCTCTCTGAGGTCACCAAGATTCAGGAACAGAAAAATGTCAGTCACTCCTTGAGATATAGAAGATTTCTACACCTGTACAGTCTTAGCTCTGTGGTCTAAACAATGAATTTTGTTCACTACCTTATGAATTCAACTAACTTTGTAACTTAGATAATACTGTAAAGATCATTTCTATTAGATATTGTTATCGTCTAATAAAAAGCTTTGTTGATGATGGTGACTATTTTACTGGGTAGCATTTGGGTCACTGACGACATGAACAATGCAACAATCATTAGTGGTTGTACCTGTCAACATTTTAGACACATTTGAATATTTGGCAACATTTTGATGTTACAGGCTTACATGCTTTACATTTTTCTTAATATAATTACAAACAGTGGCTACCTAATTATGAATTCATTTTCAAAACAAAAAAAAAAGGATTTTTGATTTACGGCCATGCCCCCAAGCAGTTTTCATTTACAATTTCAGCAAACTTTAGAGTTTAAAATATTGACCTTTAGTCTTTTATCATGCTAATTACTATGTGAGCATTGTTAAAGAAGAATTCCACCGATTTTTCAAAATGTGCGCATAATTCAACCATTGAGATGTGAACCAAGTCATTCACAGTGGCTTGATGTAAAATGGTTAATTGCAGATTATAATTGCAGCAAACGTTTCAGCTTGGATTTCTTTACAATAGTAGTGAGGAACCAGCAGTCACAATGTCAACAACACAAAATAGCCATTTTATTTCCTTTACAAAACCACCTGTAAACCTACACGTCTTCTGAGTTGATAATGGTAAAATAGTGGTAAATCTGAAAGAGTATGTTTTCTTTAGGGACTATTTTGCCTCACAACACCCTGCATGTATCTCTCCGCTGTGAATTAATTTCAAAACACATGATTCAAGCCTAAGCCTTATCTCCAAACTAGCATAAAGCGATGTCTCAAATATCACGTAGTGTATTCATAACCATTTAATGTAATAACTTTCTGTGGGGGAGCTTTTAGAGGCATTAAATTCTGGTTCTGGACATCTGGTTCCTATCACCACCACTGTGAACAATTCTGACATGGTAAGCTTCTCTAGAACAGAGCATTTCACATCAAACCACTCTGAATGACTATGTTTACATCATAACCATTTAAATATGCAGAAAAGTTAGAAAATCTCCCAGTGTGATCTTTTTGAGGCAAATAATCCAGATTCTTGTACATGGAGTACTAATGAATAAAATGGTGAAACTACACAATTCTAACTGTGATTCACTGAGGTCTTACTGCTGTTCCCTCTTTCTCTCTGTATGAAGTTGAGCTCATCACACACCTCAGCATTTGCGCCAGTCCAACACCAAGCTGCCCCAGGCCACCTTCAAATAGAGAGAGAATGTAATAAACAAAGATAAAAGATAAAAATGCACCCCAATGAGTGAGTTCAAGCACACATCAGCACAATATGCCCTTATGTGGTTTTAGCCAACTAGGCCCAACAAGGCCTAATGCAGTTTGAGCCTTATTTACAGAGAGAGGATAAAAAAATCAAAGAAGGCCGGAGGTTATTAAAACGACTTCATCTGCCATAATTGTTCAGCAGTGGTTTTAAAACATGACATGTGTTTCATTTTATATGTAATGAGCTATTGAGCCGAGTTGAACATGTAAAAGATTGTCACAATTGACATAAATGTCAAAAATACATGACTACGGGTAAAATTCTGTCTTTTGGCATGAGCTGAGTGAAAATGGGACAGAACTGGTCAAAAGGTATCCATATGTCATGAGTATTAATCAGGCACCTTCAAAAAAGATGGCCACCAAGTTTTGTTCCGATTGACCTTTTGACCTTTGTATAATGAGCCATAGTCTTTGAATGAATAAGTGAAAATACCAGACAAGGAATCCAATTTATGACAAAACATGTAATTATAAAGTTATTCAGGCCAGTGACCTGAAACACATGGCGGCAATTGTTTAGCTGTAGAATTTGTAATAACATTGTAATAGCGTTTTTAAAGTGTTTTTGAGTGCTAAGGTGTCCCTAAAGGCTAATCAAGCACTGCATGCTTGAACCCTAAAAATATTTTCCCAGACATCTTATACTGGAATTTCATGATGTGTCATGTTAATGGAAATTCACTTAAAAGGACTTTTTACACACTTCTAAAAGAACTGCTCAACCAGTTTGCATTGAAGTCCCTGTTGTTACCGAATAATATGCCTTAGTACATAATAAGCCTGGGATTTATGTGGTCAAATAGAAGATTTGCTGTCTTACAGTCCAAGCCATACTTAAGTGGCTATTTACCAACATTTATATCATACTACATTGCTAGTTGTGTGCCCATATTCCAGTTCCTCACTCTCATAACCACATAACCTACAGATTAGCTTCACTGTAGTTACCAAATAACTAAGTTATAACAGTTACTAATAATAAGACTTAAGATTAATAACTGAATAATATCAATAGTTTAATGGGACAATAAAGTCTAGGCTGAACCTTTAATGAATGGCTTATTTACACCAGTTGTACTGTTATGTTAGGACAGGTGAATATACTGGGTGTACTGCATGCAGTGGCAACAACTGTAGCCTACACAACACTCAACACTTCACATCCTACATATAAATAACTAAAATAATAATAAACAGCTATTATCAGTACAAGTGGACACACTGGGCCTATTAATTACCAGCACATGCAAGTCAATCTGTAAACCAAATAACATAACCAACATAATATTCTCTTAACAAGTACTGATTTACAATCCAGTGCATGCACTGAAATCAGTAAGAAGGTGTTATGATGGAAACGTGTCTGCTCATTTTTGGCCCGTCCTGCCCCACTGCCACCGGACAGTATTGTGTAACCACAATGCGGCCTGGCACAGCATTATGCAGCTCAACGCTTTTGTCCATGGCCCATTGTCACTGAGGTAAATAGGACTGTCTCTTACGAGGCAGTGGAAAAAACAAAGAGGGGGAAAAGTGTACAGTGTATGTGTGCTGGGGGTGTGGGGGCGATGAAACAGGTGGACTGGTGTAAATGTAAAGTTTGTTGACACACGTAACAGTTGTACCTGTGATAAGGACTCGAGGACTGTCCGAGGACCCGTGGCTGCTGGTGTTCCTGCGGCTGACCTGGCATGGGGTCCAGCCGGCCAGTCTGGAGCAGGTGGGGGAGCAGAGAGATTTCAGAAGAGCCCAGGCACCACCACAGACCTTCATGTCCTCCACCTGTCAGCACAGAAAAGCAGCCAGAATCGCACTACAGCAACATTTTCCTGATCATCGATCATTTAAAACAATCATGTCGTAGGACGGAGTCACTAAATGTAGACTACAACTGAGAACAGCATTAAAGGGGAATTCCACCAATTTTTCAAAATTTCAGAATGATTCAGTCCTTGAGATGTGAAGAGTCATTCAGAGTGGTTTGTTATGAAATGGTTCATTGTAGAGAAATGTATCGACTCTTAACAGTGGTGGTGATAGGAGCCAGAGGTCATGATGTCTACAACACAAATGTAGCTATTTTATTTACAATCCAAAACCACCAGTGAACCTACACATGCCTCTTGAGTTTTTATGTGTAACACAGATTATGGAAAAATAGCCATAAATCTGGAAAAAATACGTTTTCTTTGGGGACTATTTTTCCTCACGATGCCCCACATATAGCCCTCCACCATGAATGGATTAAATTGCTTTTTAAGCCAAAGCTCTATCACAAAACTATCATAAAACAAGGTCTCAGACACTAGGCTGGGTTTGTATAACCATTTCATGTCATAACTTTCTGTGAGGCAACATTCAGAGGGATTAAACTCTTCAGACGTCTGGTTCCCATCACCACCACTGTGAACAAATCTGATTCGGCAAGTTTCTCACGATCAGGGCATTTCACACCAAAACACTCTGAATGGCTTTGTTTACATCGTAACCATTTAATCATGTGCAGAACTTTTGAAAATTCGGTGGAGTTTCCCTTTAAAACAGTCACATCACAGGACCGAGTGGCGCTGAACTTCGATTAAAACTGCGAACAGCGTTACAGGACGGTGTCTTTCACTCCGAGGACGGACGTAACTGTGAAGGAGGCTGAAAAGAAAATCTCACCTGTGGGCTTTTGAAAAACTTCCAAAAAAAAATTCCTCCAAATCCAGCTGGCGAACCACGTGTCCCGGTAATCAAAACATCGCAGATGAACGCGTCTTCCGCCGTCTGAAAAAAACACTATAAAAGTGAATAGTGCTGATAAAGGGGGATTTTCGTGGTATTTAACCCTTAGAATTAAGAGATTACCCCCCGATTGGTCAGTGGACAGGCGCACCGAGCAACCATTGGGTAAACAAGTGGATGGCGAGGGTGCTGCTGGGAAGTGTAGTGTTTTCTGAAGGAGTGGCTGGGCTTGAACTCGCACTCCGGACTACATTGACCGGCGTCCAACGCGCCGCGGCAGCGCAAACTTGCTGACAAGCTGCTCGCTCCGGGTTTATTGTGTGGGGCTAGTTTAGCTGAGGTGGGCTTTTTTCGCGGTTTCGATGGTTTCTCACGCAAGCAGACAAAATTAAAAGTTCTTAAATTACAGATAAGTACTTTTATAACCTAATACCGCTGAAAACAGTCAGAACTGGTATGCTCGACACCCACTGTGGGCAGGGGTGGATTTAGAGATTGAGGGGCTGGGCAGATAACAGGAATGGGACCCCCTGGCCTGACATTTTTAAATTAGTTGAGGCTCTGGGCTCCCGGCTACACTGAGATGATATCTTGGCAAGTCCTCATTTTATAATTGTCGTAAGAATATTATAAGATTACTTAACTTATTTCTAGACATTTTTTGTTTTAAGTACTTTTATTAAGTGAACTTTTCTCTCTTATTGGCAGATAATTTCGCTCATTTTCACTCTCAATGTAAACTGGGCGGTCCTAATCCTGGGTAAAGCTCTGGCCCCGCCCACACAAAGCAGTTTCAGAGTCAGAGAAACTAAGGCTCAGTCCCATTGCTTCTTTTTACCCCTACCCCTTGGTTTCGAATGTCACCCTAACTCACTTCCAAAGGGGGAAGAAAAAAAGCATTACTTCATTAACAGCTACTAGTGCTGCTCTGTAGGCGACCCTGCCAGTCTGCAGTGACAGCAGAGGAGGGTAAAGTTCAGCTCCTCACTGCTGGGCTTTAGTTACTTTTAGGGAATCCTATGCCTTCAAAGGTGGGGCAATTATTTATTATCGCCCACCCCTAATTCTTCAGTGGTACGAAGCTGAAGTCAGATATTCACCAGCTTCTTGTTTGAATTTTCCCGTTCCACCTTTAATGGTGCAGCAGTTACATTCTGGCACTTCAGGCATCAGAACTGCTGGACTATTTAAGGTGGAACAGAAAGTTAGCCAACTAGCTACCGAGACATTAGCATGCTATTCGCGATTTTTTATGCTTGTTATGAAGAAAAGGACCATAATGCATTGAAACGACATTAAACTAAGATAATACAGTGGTTATCGTAATTTTTAACTGAGAAAATTCTCACATTTGTGGGTTTCTTTGGTCTCTTGTTCAGCCATCTCATCACTTTTTCTTATTTTCTCATAACTCTCCGTTTGGAGCCTCTGAAAAACCTCCGTTTGGAGGGCCATGTAGCCCTAACACTTTGCCCTACCCCTCTATCTCAACAAAAATTGGGACACCCTACCCCTAGACGTGAACAGAGGGCTAAGGGCTCAGTGGTAGGGGCGAAGGGTGAAATGGGATTGGGCCTTGGTGAGCGAAAGCTAACCCTGTATAAGCAAAACCTAGTGAGCTACACCACCTCTATGTAGCTGCCTGTCACCCGTTCATTCATTTATCCATACGCAAACATTGTCTGCTCATCCGTTCCTTCGCTCACGTCCGTCCATCCATCTGCATATCTATTTGCGAATATTTTTGGCCAGTTACCCTCAGATAAAAGCTATATGACAGAGTGCTGTCAATCAAGCTGCTCATTAGCCACGGCCACACAGTTCACAGATAGGTCTGATCAGCAGTTTTTATGTCGTGTTTCATCATATTCATATCTAATATTGGTGGTCTGCATTGACATTCCAATTGCAGCTGTTTTTGAAATGTAGATATATTTTGGTTTAGGTTATTTAACATCAACACGTGCAGTAAGTGTGATTTGTGCTGTGATGGGGTCCTCGGCGTAGTGCGAAAACTTTACTGATTTATTGTGGTGAATCTCACTGAATGTGTGAGACTTGAGTTGTGGTGTTTACAACATGACAAGCGGATTATTATTTAAATAAGACTACTAATACTGAAGAAACATAGATGTTCTTGGCTTTGTGGACCTCTTATAATGCATCACAGTTTGCGCAACTTACTTCGTAGAATGAATCGGAGATGTCATGGAAGGTTTATTTTTATTTTGACTTGTGATGTACTTTCCATTTAGTGTCCATTTAGTGTCCATTTTTCTTCTCTCAACATGCTGTTTCTGGGATCACAGCAGAGCACATCATTGTAAATAAAGGTGTTATTATATAAATTGTGTTATTATTTATATGTGTATTCATGGTGTTATCCTGGTAGTTCACTGCTGCTCTTCCCCATCAGGTTTCATTTAATTTTTTCGAAGAATTTATCTGAGAGTCACTATTTAAACAATAGAACCTGAGAGGGAGTGTGTCATCGCGAAATAACATCGCGGCTGTGATTTGGTTTTCTGTTTTGTATTGCGGCAGTTTTATGGCTCAGTCTGATTTGGTCAGACTCTGAAGACCAGACTACACGTTTGGCGAATGGTACTGGGTTCATTTCTGGCTGATTCCAGGTTGTTTAAGTTCTTCTGTCACAGCTGCCGACTGAAAAGCTGCTCAGTGGTGATGACAGTTTGGGAATTTAGTGTCGTCTCATCTTCAGAGTCTGACCAAATCGGCTGTCGGTCAAATGTGATCTTAAAAGTGTCCATTTTCTGTTTGTGGCAAAGTAAGAAGTAAAAACGTTCAAATGGCTTGAACGTCTCCTACAGAGGTCAAAGTTGTTGCTTAGCAACATCGTCTCAGCGGAGTGATACAGTGTTCGTGATAAACCTGTGATGTTATGGTGAAATGGCAGCGCGGTTAGAACGCTTCTCAACCAATCAGCTTGCGTGGCCGGAACTAACTGTTGTATAAAACACTGTAAAAGACCACGGAAAAGGAGCCTGAGAAATACTGCCATCTGGTGGTGAACACTAGAAATAACACCCCAATGGCAAAATTCGCCTGCTAGCTTGTAGATACAATTTGTATCTGTAACACTGAAGTTATAGAGCAAGTTGAACGATAAATGAAAATAATTAACATATGAAATAATCTACGTACCTCCAATGAGTATGGAAACCACAAAATGCAGCTTCATTCTTAATTTGCTCAGCTTAGCAGTCTACATAGCGAAAATGCTAACGTTAGCGCAGCCTCTTGTAGCTCCAATAGCGAAATGACTGAAAAAGTTCATTCTGAAAGCCTCCAACTTCGTCATGTTGTTCTCTGAAGTGTTATTATAGAAGTGAAAATGGAACAATAGTGCACTTAACAGCGTCACTGCAATTTTCCTGATGAGCAGAACTGCCACTCAGTGTCGTTGGGGTGTTCAGTCGCTAGAGGGCGCTCCGAGACAGCACAGAATAAATGGGGCTCTATGGACCGTTTGTGGAAAGTGTAAGTTGTAAATGGTAAATTCTTTTTATACAGACAAACGTACTTTATTTTCACAACAAACAGCAGTATAAAATATTTCAACACTCGTCATATTTTTGAGCAATTCAAACTCCAGTTATACAACGTTCTACCACTTCACCGGAGAAGTTATAAAGAGGAGAATTACCACTCTGTCATGTCTTCCGGAATTCTCAAACGCTAGAGGGCGCCATCGAGCGAGTCCAAAATGGATGGGTTAAGATGGAGCATTTGAGCAAAATCATAGTTTATACATGCTTAAACATTTTGAACGGAAAAGAATACAATCATTACAATACAATCACTCAATTAACATTGAGTGCATTTACATGGGCTTCATAATCCGATCATTATTGGATTTCTGCAGTTATCTGATTATCCAAATGGCACGTAAACAGCATACTCCAATTTCTTAGATTGAAGTATAGTCTAGAAATCCAACTGAGAAATCCAATAAAGAGAGCTGGATTTTAGCTCAGTAATCATTTCTCAGTGTATGTAAACTCTTACTCTGATTTCTTTCGGATTTCTCAATTTGTGCATGTGCGAAAACAGACCGCAGTACCGGAACAAAGCAAGCAGTGTTGCTGAAATCAACTACATGCTTTATGAACGAAGGATTTAAATATTCTTCATCCTATAGATGATGTATGTTCATGTTTTCAGGTAAAGTGGCGCAACATGAAGTTCAAGTTTTATGTTACGTTTACGTCACGTCTTCTTCTGTGTGTTTATTGGCTGGTTGCAAAGCAGAAATCTGATTACTGTCTGACTCATGTAAACCCGGAGTTTCACATTATCTGATTACTCAATGCATATAAACGCATTGATGAGATTACTGACAAAATCTGATTTTTTGCAGTTATCTGATTATTAAGTGCATGTAAACGCACTCATTTATCTACCTCTATATATTTAAATGGATGAAGACCTGTTTGTCAAAATGCTGTAAATTATTCATTAATACTAATAAGCACGGTAAATCGTATTTGGCAAATGTATGAAATGTTCTCATCATACATATAATCAACTGTATCTCTCTGATGTCAAGTCAATTAAAATGTATTTATATAGCGCCTTTTACAACAGATGTTGTCACAAAGCAGCTTTACAGAGAATCCGGGTCCATGTCCCCAGTGAGCAAGCCTTGGCAACAGTGGCAAGGAAAAACTCCCTCAACAGGAGGAAGAAACCTCGAGAGGAACCAGACTCAAAAGGGGAACCCATCCTCCTCTGGTTGACACCGGATAACAGCACAGACACAAAACAGTATAAGTGGATACAGTTTTACAGTTCTGTACAGTGTTGGGTATGGAGTTATGAATGAATGAATGAATGAACCTTTTTAGCCAACTGTGTCTGAACACATCGGAATTAGACCTCTGCATTTAACCCATCCGTGCAGTGAAACACCACATACACACTAGTGAACACACACTCTAGGGGGCAGTGAGCACACATGCCCAGAGCGGTGGGCAGCCCTATCCACGGTGCCCGGGGAGCAGTTGGGGGTTAGGTGCCTTGCTCAAGGGCACTTCAGTCATGTACTGTCAGCTGAGGGGACCGGCGACCTTCCAGTCACAAGGCTGGTTCCCTAACCTCCAGCCCACGACTGCCCCCAGCAAGAGGCCTTTGTACAGTGAAAACCACACAAGGATCCACATAGCACAAGGCTCTACGATGCGCGCAAGCGGCCCATCCATCATGGTAGACGAAGCAACAACACCACACAGGACGGAGCACCGTTCACATCAGACCCCCCTGGGACGGGATTAAGTGGTGTTCACATCAGACCCTCTTGGGACGGGCAGCTGCTCAGCTCAGGGAAAGAGAGGGGGAGGGGGGGATAAGGGGGACAGATTAGTTAGTTCAGTTATGGTGAGTTCTGTTAGTTCTGTTATGGGTGACCGAACCGAACAGAGAGGAAGATGCCATGATCTCTCAAGCCGTCTACGGTGAAGTCCAGCATGACCAGCTTCTAACGGAGTGTCAACTTAAGCCCAAAATGCACTCAAAGAGGAGGATGAACTGCTGAAGGAGGCACTTTGCAGCAGCAGGTTTTCTTTCAGCTCAATCAGGAAAAGCTCAACGGTTCCTTTCCTTTACTGGTCTGACCACTATTACTTTTGAGTTGCGTTCATGAACCTGTGCTTGGATCTAAGCAATAAGCACATTGCCTTTAGGTTTAATGCAACGGATACGGTCAGCTCCAATATTTAAGGAACTGGGTCCCTATAGTGGCACAGATACCGAAACCGATTATCAAATGGCCAAACAAGGAAGGCTATTCGCAGGAACATGCCAAAATGTTTTAAAAGGAAATATAGACAATGTTAGTGTATAATTGATTGCACTGAGATGGGTCCTTTCTGTGTGAAGTTTGTATGTTCTCCCTGTGTTTGCATGGGTTTCCTCTGGGTGCTCCGGTTTCCTCCCACAGTCCAAAGACATGCAGTCAGGCTGATCGGACATATATATGTCTGTCTTCCCTGCGATGGATTGGCGACCAGGGTGTATCCTGCCTACTGCCCAATGACAGCTGGGATAGGTTCCAGCACCTCCCCCTACCCCCCGCCCCCCCCGGATCAGAAGAAAATGTGCGTATGTGTTCCTTACTGAACTGAAACTGGGACACATCAATACAATTCAACAATACATGGTGAATTTAACTGAAACATATTGGATCAGACCTGATCAGACCTGAATCGAATCGTATTGACCCTGGACTGAATCGTATTGGCTCAGAAATGAATCAAAGTGTATCAAATCGCTAGGGATCTCTCTAGGGAGTGATTCACTCCCCTAGAGACACTGCAGGCAGCAAGGCATCGAGACAGCCACCTTCAGTTCTGGACAACACAAAGGTGGCTCCGATCTGACTGAACATTCCGGCCTGCTGAAAAAACCCATTTCTGTTGGTTGCTAATAGGTTTGTAATGCGTTTTGGATTTTTTAATGGGTTAATATCACAGCGTAACAATGGTTTAACATGGGTTCTGAAGGTGTTTGATGAGGGATCTAAAGGTTTTCTTTCAGGAGACTAGTGAGACAGGAGACTAGCCAATTCCTATTAGAAGCACATGTGGTTTTGGTGACCAGAGCTTCACCTTTGGGAGTTTTTAAGTGGAGTTCATTATAGCTGGTCACTCTACTTATATGGCCGTGATTGATGTATGATTTTAGAAGGTATATAATTACTTCCTTAATGGTGTTCTTTGCTTTAGAAGGCGGATATGTTTAAATTTAGGGTGGACTCTCACTGTTCTTTGAGTGCAAAGAGGAGATAAATGGTCAACTCGTTGCATTTGCCCAGGCCTTATCTCATGTTTTCTCTGCTAAGGCCTAGCTAGCTGACAGGGGCTACTGTGAACCACTCTTTAGTGGCCTTGGGGGTGTAGACAAGACTTTTTTGAGAAGAGACCAGGTGCGCGAGGACTTCCTGACCATCTAAGAGCTTCCTTCCTTCTCATTAATTATGCTCATATGTTAACACTGTCATGTTTATTCATATCACAATTCTTATTTTCTATGTTCTCTGTTAACCAATGACAAGTAACAACACCCTACTTGTGGGATTTATAACCTTTGTAACTTTAGTCTGTCTTCTGAGATCTCTGGGCACTTTCCAGGAGTTTCTCCCTGGTGAGAGTTTTTAAACAAACACATTACTTTGGAGCATTAATTGTGAAAAGTGAGACTTTACTGTTTACTGGTTTATTTAGTTATTTTTCCATGACACAAAACAATTAGGTTTTAATCCTAATTGTTTTTAATGGTCCTTTTCAGCCGGGTGGAGCTGGAACAGTGTTGATATCTGGAATACTTCTAGGTGGATGTTTCACCTTCTGCTGGACAAGCTTGTTTTCTCTTCCGGCTTCTCCTTTTTCTACATGTGCTTCTGTTCGTTCCTTCCTCTCCTGCTCTCCGGCTCCTGCACCACTCAGTGTTTCAGCGCTGCCATCACAGACACGGCTGACAGGAGCAGATCTTCTCGCTCTTTCCTCTCCTTCTCCATCAGCCTGGCCATCAGCTCTCTCTCTCTCTTTCTCCAGCTGTCTGATGAGGGTCTAGTAGCTGGAGCTCCTTGGATCTCTCCATCTGGTTCCACACAGCGCTCTTTTCTGCACCTTTTCTCTTCCTCTGCATGTCAATCACTCTCATCTTCTCCATCAGCCAGCCTTGGAGCTGCTGGTTGGCGTAATCCAGTTTGTGGACCCTCTTCGTCTCTTTTGTCCTCCTTCTTGCTGACATTCTCCACCTCAGCGCTCTTCTTTCTCAGCTCTGCGATCTGTTCTAGCAGGCGTTTCTCCTCATTCGACCATTCTTCCTGCTCCGCCCTTCTAATCTTCTCCACCTGTTCTTCTTCTCACTCTCTGTCCGCAGACTCGCTCTTTAGCAGATGCTTCAGTTCACAGCTGCCCAGTCTCTCCTGAGCCTTTTCCATGCTGTCAGCAGTTTCTTCTCACCATCTGGGAGAGCTCTTCTCCTTTAGCGGATGTAGTGCTGCTCGCAGATCTGCTGTGTGTAACAACGCTGTCTCACTAAAACAACAATCAGTTTAAGCGTCTGCAGCCCTATTTATACCAGTTTTTGCTTAAAAAGAGAAATAAACAAAAACAAATAATTTTTATTATTTACAAATAAAACCGTTATTATAAATGTGTTTTCAAAATTGGCAAATTTCTACACAAAAAGGCCTAAAAATATTTATTTTATTGTGAAAAACAAATCAGAGCTGCAGTATAAAGAATATTGTTCTACAGAAAATGTTACTCAACAGACAAATGCAAAGTGCTAATTGCTGTCCAGTTATAACCTACCTGCAATGTGAGAAATAAAGGGGGTCTGGGACCCCCTAATTAACCACTTGGACCCCCTGAATGTTTCAAAATCAAAATTCTGGGGGGTCTCTGAAAATCAGCTTATAATCGATGTTATCCTGTCCAATTATTTCTAAAAGAACAATTGCTAAACCAGACATTTTGCTGCCATTGAAGCTGGCATCAGCGCCGCTATGGCGATTGAGTCAGCAGCCAGTCAACATGGGACCCCTGAACAGCAGAGGGTATTTCGCATACTGCCTATCAGTCGTGAATCATTCGTAAATCCACACAAAAGAGTTAGGTTACAGAATAAACTGAACATTCCTTCTGTTTAGGTCCACTTGCTTTATTACATACCAGTTATTAATACCAATAATAAAACAACTATTGATGCATCAATCTGAATGTTTTGATACAATGGCTCTCTTACTACCCCTCTTACGTCATTCATACTTGCCCATTTATTCTATGCAAGTACATGAAGCAAGTGCTTTAGCATGTTACCTAATACACAGGCAAAGACAGGTGTAGAGCTATTTTATGAAAAATTTCACTGTATTGCTGTGACTGAAGTTGCACTGATATTCATGTATGTTGAATATTACCTGAATAAACTGAAGAACTGAGCATGTTCTTGGTTTATGTGGACACCACAATAAAAGGCACTTCACTGAACGCACAGCAGAATGCATTAAATAATATAGGTTTTATTTTAAATAATTAGAAGACATTTCTGTTAACAGTAGTTATGTATCTCATCCACAAGGTGGTATCTTGAGGCACAATGTGACCACAGTGTGAAGAGGGTCAGACTGTCACAAGCCAAATGGTCACAGTGAAATTGCTTGACATCCTCTGTGGCTGGGAAGAATAAATACTGAGTCCAGTGGTTAAAAGCAAGATCAAGTATTCTGTCAATGTTCATGTAACATCTATTAATGCAGACTGCCAAAGCAAACTTAGCTCAAACTCATTTAGGCTTCTGTTTTCTTCTTGCGGCCACAGCGAACTGAACAGAAACGGCGGAATTATATTGTTTGCCTTGATTTGAATAGGAATGAACGTCCTTTTGAGGTCAGAGTATAGTCAACTCATCCATGAGATTCTCCACGGCAGTGAAGGTGTCGCGATGGGTAAGAGGTGTGCGTGTGGTCTGCTCAGCTCCGGTTCTCTCTCTGTGTTCTTTAACGATAGTCCAGATTTCCTCTCGAGCCTCGGCCATGGTTTCAGCATGCTCGGTCCACCTGAGGAACAGACCTATACACAAAAGTAGAAGTAGAAGTTCCTCCCTTTAGACCTCCACTTGAGTAAAAGTAAAAAAGTATTTCCCTTTAAATGTACTTTAGTATTGAAAGTAAAAGTACTAAAAGATTAATTATGACTCTAATATCCTATTACCATTTTTGTAACAAGACTCTTGCTTTATTAACTCAATTTAGGTGAAAATACTGCAGTGTCACTCTTGGTAAACCAATCTTTTAATAGAATGTCATTAATTAGTCTCTGTGGATCGATCATTTTGATTTTATCCTACAAATATTACGATTTTTTTCTCTAAATATTATGACTTTATTCTCGAAATAGTGTGACTTTTTTGTCAAAATATTACGAGTTTATTCTTGAAGTTTACTATTTTTATTTTTATGAACAGTGGCCATAAAAATACAGTTGTAGAACCGTATGCTTGCACTGGGTCGGTATGTCCAAAAGGTCAAACAAGCTCAAAACAAAGTGCGCGCTGTGCCCTGATTGGTGTTCTTACTTTGCGCTTCTTTCGTTTTGACATGTTACATTTTTTATGCACACATAAGAGAAAAGGAACGACAGATTTCACAAAATGTAGTGGAGTAAAAAGTCAGATATTTGACTTTGAAATGTAGTGGAGTGAAAGTAAAAAGTTGTCCAAAATGAAAATACAGTAAAGTACAGATACACGAAAAACTACCTAAGTACAGTAACGAATTACATTTACTTAGTTACTATAATATATATAATACAATCTGCCTGTGTGCAATAGGAGGCTGTAATGTAATTACAGCGCTGCTAATGTCATGCAATGATACTGACCACATTTTTAAGGCAAAATTTGCATAATATGAAAAAGTGAGTGGGTGTGAATAAGGGGCGGCGTTCTCACTTGTTCAAAAGGACTGCACTAACAGAGCAATTGCAACAGGGTTATTTTTAAACCTGCCAAGTGTGAACACACCCCCGTATTGTGAGTTTTCTCATTTCAAGTCCATTAAGGCCTCTTAAATGCAGTGAATGCATGACTGGAGGAAAATGCAAACGGATAATATAGTTTTATAGTTTTGTTCACTGCAGATGTATCGTTTCAATTAGGGACAATGGTACTATCCAAACATCTGAGGCAAACTTACAACAACATAAAATACAAGATACAATTTAAAAACACAACATAAATAGCCCAAATACAGTACATATGCATTCAAATGAATCTGCTACCACAGCTGTAATAAATTTAGTTGTCAGAGTCTACAGATATGATAACAACTCTAACAATAAAAATGGACTCACCAGTCCATAACTGGAGCGACTGTGGCTGCACTGAAGGCCAGATAGCCAGCTCTGTGGGTTCATACAGTGGGTTAATGTACTTCTCTCTCTCTCTACACCGCAAGAGGAACTGGAACAAGCAGTGAGTGTTTTCCCTCACCCCTAAAGTACATCTGAAATGAGAGGGACAGAAAAAGAAACGTCAGAGATGACAAAAGTCATTCTTCTTATGACACGTTAACACCTGGTAGCTTATCAGTAATGGCTGACCTAAAATCAATAATGATGAAGATACAAAGCTAAGATACACAAAATAATTTAAAGGAGTTAAATATTTTTCACATAAAATGTGATTCCCGTATATTCTGGAGTTGAACTATGCATGTTTTGGTGGAAATGTCTATGATTTACAAAACCTGAAGCAAATAGGATTTTTGTCGTTGTAGGCAACTTTTACTGTGCTTAAATGCTATTTTTTATTAGTTATTAGTTTAATTGTGCAGGATTGTTTGATATGAAGAAAGCTGCAGTTTTACTGTCTGTTTTATCATGGCATGGCCATCAAAGTGGAGAGGTGTGAACTGACTTACTTAGTAGCAAAACCACCCCCAGAAAATCCAGGGCCAAAGGTTAAGTACTCCAGTACTGAATATACACAACAAAATAATACAAATCTAAGTTACATGTAATATATTGATGATTTAAATTAATAATTGCCAAGACAGACAGCAAAGTATGTGCTATCAACGTAAGACTACACCATAAGATAAGGCTGCAGCTTACATATAAGGTTACCATTCTGCTAGAGGATGGTAACATTTAACATCACATACTACTGTGAATTAATGTTTTTTTTTTTTAAATAAAAATTATTACAGAACCTCATGATAATATTTTCCATGACTTTCAAGTACATTTTTTGATTTTATTATTTTTCAAGGAGATTTTCCTCCTTTATTTTCTATGACTTTCCTGATTTTCCAGGACCTGTACAAAACCTGCACACACAGAGCCAACAGTTTTCCAGTTAATCTGATAACAGAGTTATGAGGAAACTATTTTCCTCTAATCCTACTAATTTTATTTTTATTTTTGTTTTCCCCCTTGCCTCAAATGCAATCAATCAGCCATGACATACTTGACGTTTTATTGCATGTTTTTGCATTATATAATACACTGTCTTCTATAAAAAATGATTCTTTATTTGTTTTTATATATAATAGTATATCATATAGTGTCAAAACACACCAACACACCATATAAGCAAGTCTATTTGAGATTATTTAACAACTAAGCAGTCTGAGGCAAAGGTGGGAAGTTTGCAGTTTTAACTGGTGTACATAAGCTTCCAGTGTAAAACTAAGAAGTAAACTTCATACTAGGGATGCATGGATACCATTTTTTTCAGACTGAGTATAAGTACATGCTTTTAAGTACTTACCAAAACCATAATGAGTAACACACTTAAAATGAACTAGTTGTTAGTGTAAATGAATGCAATGTACCTTAATCTAGCTGATTTTAAATGAAGTGTGTTAGCTAGCTATGCTACATTAGTTACTTTGGACTGAGAAGAGCTGGAGTGGAGAAGAGTGGATTTAGTTCAACATCAAAAAGGAGCTTCTGTACAGCTGTAAGTAAAGTAGCTTTTATAATTTTGGTCCTTTTCTCTCTGTTTTAACAACAGCCTCTGTAGCACAGTCACAGCAGGAATTACGTTTGAGGCTACATTTGCTAGCTGTGCCACACTGTGCACTGAAACTGAAAGCAGTTGGTGATGTACATGGTAGGACAATACAGTCGCTCTACAGCCTTTTTTTACAAAGATAGTTTTAAAAAAATCACCGTATTACTGTTTACCTTTATTCTGTCAAACAGAATAAAGTCAGCATATACAGAATTTGATATCAAATGTCAAGATTTTTTCTCTCGTTTTGCTGGCCTACGTGTCTACACCTGTGTTGGGGAAGTGGAACTGCCTAAAATCACACAGCGTTTTCCAGGTGGAAATATGCCGACACTGTAAAAAATAAGAAAGCTGCTCAACGTAAAATGATACAGTAACTGATTACTTTTTTGCTTTTCTTGAGTTGACTTAACTTGAGGACACCAGAGTTCACACAACTCAAACTTCTTAGTTGAGTCAAAAATTCCCCCAGCTACTGTTTCTAGGTCTGCATCTCAGTTAGGTAAACAAAACTGAATTTGCATTTTTTAACTCAGTTTCTCCACTAGCTGGCACTCCTTCTATCACACAGTCATATTTTCCTCCTGGGCTTCTGGATTTGGACAGCTATGGGATTCAAACTCACAATCTCCTGATGTTGGGATGAGTTATTAGACAGTTGCACCACATGAGACTACACCATGCTTTAAAGTCAAAACAACAAATGTTTTCTCCAGTGTATCAAAAATTTATAGACATGAACTCTGAGCTGCTTCATGTGCTCCTGAGTGGTTCAGTGCACTAAGCTGTCACCTTAAGAAGAGGTTGTGAGTTTGAGCCCCAGCGATGCCATAGCCATCCGTAAGTGTGTACCCAAGTCTATCAGGATCGTGTGATGGAAAGAGTCCTTGCTAGTGGGAAAGTTGATCATAAAAAGTCCTGTTATTTACCTAACTGAGATGCAGAACTAAAAAATTAAGAGAACTTTTGACTCACCTAAGAAGTTTGAGTTGTGTGAACTCTTGTGTCCTCAAGTTGAATCAACTCAAGAAAAGCCATGTAATCAGTTACTATATCATTTTGAGTTGAGCTGACCTCTGAGCACGGTATGGGGCTCGTATTGGTATCGATGCATCCTACTTCAGACACCAAACATGTCTTGACTGAGTGACTATATCTGGCATAAGGGGGGAGTTGTGTGATCTTTTTGGGCAAACTTTTGCTGTAAAGGAGATAAATAAACCCCAAAAGTTTAAATCTTGTGTTTGCGATCCCTCACCGCTCCTGTTCATTGTTGCAGAGAAAGGTGCCGTAGTCTGAGGCGTATGCTTCCTGCGCTAGCCTCAGCAGCAGAGCCTCACTGAACTCCAGCGCCAGTGGGAACTGCCTCCATATCTGCCACACGCAGTCCAGCAGCAGCACAAAGGACGGGCACTCCTGCCTCAGGCGGGCATGAGAGTGGGCTGAACGGGCGCAGCGCTGCTGAAATGGGTGGCCTGCCTGACACACGGGGGAATAAGCATTGGGTTACAACACTCATCATGGAATGGAGGGTAAACAAATTCTCTTCATTTCTGAGAAGACACACAAGTACATATAAAATTAGTAAATATAAAATGATTTAACCCTAAGTAATTTTGGACCATTTCTAAAGGTCAATTCATGATGAAATGCTCACCCAATGTAAAAGTTATTGGTGTTTTCAAATTATGTTAAAAAAATGAAAAACTCAGCACTGCAGTGACACTGACTTAGAGGTGGCACGTTAATGTGTGTTGTGCTGGTACAAGTGGTTCAGACACAGCAGAGCAGCTGGAGTGTTTAACACCTCAGTGTCATTGCTGGACTGAGAATAGTCCACCAACCAAAAATATCCAGCTAACAGCATCCTGTGACCACCAATAAAAGACTAGAGGATGACCAACACAAACTGTGCAGCAACAGACAAGCTACTGTCTCTGACTTTATATCTACAAGGTGCTGGTGTCATAGCTGTGCTGAGATCTACCATCTAAATGACACCTGCTCTGTGATGGTCCTGTGGGGGTCCTGACCATTGAAGAACAAGGAAAAACAAGTATCTCCAAAATGGCAACTTTACAGCAGAACGCAAAAAAAGTTCCTTTACTTTTTTTTACCAGTAAAATCAGCCTTACCTCTATCCATAGCCTGCAGTATTTTTGCGCCTGTGATGAGATTCAGCATGAAGACTTACAGATTTTTCAGTTTTTACTGCTCCTAACTACTAAAGCACAACTGGAGTTGAACTGTCACTGTACAGATTAGTTAACGTTAATGACTTTCCTCATCAAATCACCCACACTACAGGTTGGACCAGCTGCCTCAGGGGGACTATACGACACTAGGTGGAACAAACTGTAACTTGCCTTCTAACTTCTTTGTATTGTTACACCCCAAATATATATATACACACATATATATATGTATAAAATCTCCAAAATGGTCACTTTAACAGAGGTGAAATTATATCACATACACTCCCTTACCTGAACCCACTCTCTCTCCACTAGTTGAAGGAAGCCTCTGAATGTTCTGGAGGCAGGATCTAGGATGACCTGAGCCAGTGAGGTCACCAATAGCGTGGTGTCTGTCCCCTCAGAGCCATGCACCAGCACTGAGTGACCGTCCCTGTAAAAATAACAATGAAGGTGAGAACAGTATCTCACTCACCCGCCAGATGACAGAAAGATTTGAGCAGGCCCAGAGTAGAGGACTGACTATAGGCAGAAGTTGTCTATAGCTGATCATCAAAGAGATCAAATGTAAGTAACAGGTTACAGACAAGAAAAGCATCATCAAGATTATAATATGTGTATAAAAAACAAATGACACTGAACACACTTGGTGTTTGCTGCTTATTTATAGTGCTGTTATTACTGTGAAGTGTCAGAACTCACCTCTCCACACACTCTGCCACCAGGCCTGCTGTGGACAGAGCACTGTGAACGTGAGACAGCCATTTGGAGTTCTCCAGCTTGCTCAGCCAGCGGTCCATATGGTGAGATGGGTCGCCACATGCTTCTACCAGCTTGATCAAACTCTCCTGCAACACCTTTCCTCTGAAAATACACATGTATTCACATGTATACACAGATTATGAGGTGACAGATGTACGGTAAAACAAAACTTCCTGTGACACTAATATAAAAGGACAGGTCTCCATTAATGTAACCATATTTTTCCAGTTCCATTTAATATAATTCCATTTCCAGGCATATAGGTGGGATCCCATGGTGGTCGGGGCCCTGGCTGCAGTCCCTACAGCTCATTGAGTTGCATATAAACAAAGAGACGTACTTCTCTAACTAACAAACACACCTGTATAAGTAATGAGTACCTCTCCATGTGTCTATGGATCCTCCTCCAGGGTCGGTAGAAGGATTTGGACTCAAACCCTCCTCCTGTCATCCTGGCCTGCTGAGATTGCTGGGCGGAGCGTGTGTCTATGACGTAACCCAACTCTGATTCGTCAATCACTGCCTGGAGGAGGAGCTCGTCCTCCCTGCATCGCTTCCTATTGGCTCCCGTCATGGGCTGGCTGCTACGCAGGATCACCTTGGCAACAATTAAAAATATTTTTTATAAAGTATTATACAACCAAAAGTACTGCTTCATCTCTTTAACTAAACACATGCAAATCTTCTATTTTTCACGCTTGTTTCTTTTACAGTTTACATTGTCTTACGTTTACATTTTTCCTCAAATTACTAGTTTTGAAAATTTGCTGGCCTTATTGAACTCTAATGAACCAAGCATCTCACTGACGATTCATTCTGAGAATTTGGCTATGGCCCTAAAACTAGTTTAAATCTGCTGTCCAATTGGTTATGGTGCATACTCGTCTTCACTGACCACACAGTAATGAATCAGTGTATAGCACTAGAATTTTCTGTGTGCTACCATGTATTTTAAAGGAGCTTTCCTGTTTACCAAACAAGCTCATTCAGAGCACAATTTGGATTGCTAAGAACTTATTACTGATTTGTTTAATACGTGACTTTTATTCTTATTTATGCGATTTTGTGTTCAGAAATGTAGTTTGTGAGACGGCCCAAAAGAAAATTTTACTGCTCTGACCACAAACTGCACAGCTCTGTGTTTGCCCTGTTCTAACACACCTGATTTATCTTATCAAGTGCTTGATATTTAGCTGGTGAGCTACAATAGGTATAACAGAGCAGTGTATGGGCCAAAATGAATGAAGCCACTTATTGTGATGAGCTGTCCATGAGCGTGTCCCTCTCTCACCATGCTGTTTCTGTGATGACAGTAGCAGAGCACGGGGAACCTTCCACCCTGTCGGAAACGCGCTGCCTTCACGAGTGTGTCATCGTCTACAGTTCGGGGTACAATCACGGCACCAGGGTATGACGGACACGCTGAGAAATCTGAGTTGACTTTGCTCAGCCTCCACCTGTCCCACTGACCACAAAACATGAGATAAGAGGAGATAAGAGAGAAATAGTGACTTACATGCATTTGTTCAAAACAATGGAGACGACAGTCATCATGAAGAGCAAAAATACAGACCAATCACACTTCCATTTCTCACTCTTATAAACAGTAATAATAATTATAATAAAAGTAATTATAAATCAATATGGTTACTTTCTATATGGTGAATAATAAGCCTAATGTGGACGCATAGGTGTCAACCAATACAATTCTCCATAAACTCTGTCCTGCAGTTTCGTCGCAATATAGATGTTTATAGACTCACTAGCCTAAAATGTCATCTGATCAGACTGCGAGTGGTAGAATAGGAGGATAGACATATTTATTTATGTGAAATTCTTTTACTGTCACGCTCAAGCCGTATGCTGTACATGGTGATGATTGTTTATTTAGATTGTTGAACTAAACATTAAGTCTGGGTCCGTGATGTAACTTACAAATGTATTAGTAAAGACGTATCTTCTTCTTGATCTCGTCTTTTGGACGATGCTTCACAATTATCAGCTCATCAGAAACCACAACCTGACTGTGTTCTATCTTTCTGACTGCCTTTGACTGTGTTTATATGCATATTTCACTGTGTGAGAGAGACTGTTTAGGTGTTTATCTGTTAAATAAAGCAATAATAAATTTCTGATTGTATCCAGTCTGCCCTGTGATGGACTGGTGACCTGTCCAGGGTGTATCCTGGATGACTGCTGGGATAGGATCCAGCTCCCGCCGCGACCCAGAAGGATAAGTGGCTTAGAAGATGTGTGTGTGTGTGTGTGATTGTATCCAGTTTGGAGGATGTTATAAGGCCTACTGTCTCTAATAACAATAATAATAATATAATTTAAAATAAATAATAATAATATAATATAAAAAAAAAGAAAAATAAATATTGAGGGCGGCACGGTGGTGCAGTGGGTAGCACTGTCGCCTCACAGCAAGAATGGCCTGGGTTTGATTCCCGGCCGGGCGACCGGGGTCCTTTCTGTGTGGAGTTTGCATGTTCTCCCCGTGTCTGCGTGGATTTCCTCCGGGTACTCCGGTTTCCTCCCACGGTCCAAAGACATGCAGTCAGGCTGATTGGACATGTTGAATTACCCCTAGGTGTGAATGTGTGTGTGTGATTGTACATGTATGTCTGTCTGTCTGTCTGCCCTGCGATGGACTGGCGACCTGTCCAGGGTGTATCCTGCCTTCTGCCCAATGACAGCTGGGATAGGCTCCAGCACCCCACCGCGACCCAGAAGGATAAGCGGTTTAGATGATGGATGGATGGATGGATATTATTATAACATTTTCATTACTTCACATAGTTTGGAGGTTTACTGTCATAATTATTATTATTATTATTACTTTTATATACGTATAATACCATTTTATACAGTATGGAGAATAAGGTTTACTGTCTCTAACATCTATGTGGACATGTGGAGAAAAGAGCTTAAGAAGTTCTGGTGTTTTGGCCTCACATGGCCTTCAGTGTGTTAGCAGTTGCTTAAAACTGTTTCTTTTTTGGCTGCACTTCATGTCAATGACTTTTTAACCTCCACATGAACGCATGAATTAAATATCTAAAATATTATATCTCTGCATTCATGAATACATTTTCATGCAATAAAATACTGGTCATCCCAAATTAAGCATAAAGCAAAAGTTAAAGTTGAAAAAGCAAAAGTAGATAACGGTGTAGTCTTGAAGATAAATGAGCAATAAAGGAGAAAAGAGGAATAAATGAAACAGAGAGGCTGAGAAAACTACGAAGAAAGAAAGCAGGCACAGAAAAAACATTGGGGGAGGATGAGAAGATGAGTGAAAAAAAGGGGAATGAGAGAGAGGGAAACAGAAGGATGAGACGAGGGTGAGAGGAAAGACTGTGAGGGAGCAGAGGAAAAGAGGTCGTAGGGTCAGACACACACAGACACAGATAAGCAGACAGATAATCATTCTTAAGTCCTTAAACAACATAATATATTATTCAGTTTCAGACTTATTATTTATCAACTGCTATAAATGACTCAATAACTACTGTGAAACTAATACGTGATGCAGTTATGAGGAGTGAGGAGCTGAAGTGTGGGCCACATGCAGGCCTATACAGCCTAAAGGGTTAAAGGACTAACAGAGGAAATTCCCTAAAGATTTGCTCCTCACCACTAAACAGCCCGAATCACAAAAGCATGAGTTGTCACCCATACAGCACTTCTTTTCCTGTGAGAGCAGAGTCTTGCACCAGCACTCATTCACTTCCTGTGCCAAGCCAACTGCTTCCTGTTTGTCTTCCTTTAGGGTTATGAAACCATGTCTTAGAATGGCTGACACCTGCATGTGTTGGTATACTGTCACATCCAAAAGTCTGAACGCCCCAGGCCAAATTATGTGGGCTGCTGATCTTCTAAGTGAAGGTTAACACATCCTTTACAGAGAACAACCTTAAATACGACACTTTTCTGCGAAGTGTAGTCCACATGACTTGACATATTTTACGTTTTTTTTACCAGTATATTAAATTCAGCAAATAAACAATGATTATGGAATAAAGTGTGTCGTTTTAAAACTATGTTCTCTCTAAAGGATGTGTTAACGTACTTTCACATAGAAAATCAACAAAACATGTTACTTGACACAATATTTTGCATACAACTGTACACACTGACTGGCCACTTCATTAATTACACTTCCTTGTTTCTATATTCGTTGTCTGATTTATCACTTCTACATACCAGATAGGTGCACAGAGCAGGTGCAGTTTATACACACCTCAGTGTCACTGATGGACTGAGAATAGTCCACCAAACAAAAAATATCCAGACAACAGCGTCCTGTGACCACCGATGAAGGACTAGAGGCTGACCAACACAAACTGTGCAGCAGCAGATGAGCTATCGTCTATGACTTTACATCTACAAGGTGGACCAACGAGGTAGGAGTGTCTAATAGAGTGGACACAGTGTTTAAAAAGTCCAGCAGCACTGCTCTGTCTGATCCACTCGTACCAGCACAACACACACTAACACACAACCACCACGTCAGTGTCACTGCAGTGCTGAGAATGATCCACCACCCATATAATACCTGCTCTGTGAGGGTCCATGGGGGTCCTGAGCACTGAAGAACAGGGTAAAAGGGGGCTAACAAAGTATGCAGAGAAACAGATGGACTACAGTCTGTAACTGTAAAACTACAAAGTGCACCTATATGGTAAGTGGAGCTGAGTGTAGAAACAAGGTAGGTGTATTCAGTAAAAGTGGCTGGTCAGCGTATATATTAAGGGTTTCATTCCGGAATGCACTGAACGCCACTTACGTGAATTTTCTTTGTTTTTTATAAAAAAATATGTGATATAAAATGCTGTGCAAAAGTCCTGAGTACTTGAACAAATTATTTAAAACCATTTATCTGGACAATGACCACGTTTAGCTTGTAAAAACCCTGTTTACAGACATTAATGTAGTAAAGGGTAGTTTTTTTGTGAGACAAACAAATTTTGGTTTTGGATTTCTTCTCAATATTTCCGGTCATGTATTAATATTACTTGTATTTATTTAAGTGTTTTATAATACCACCTGAATTAGAGAAAAAATGTGACAAAAAGAATTATACGTGAGCTGTTATTCCTTTCAAATCACTCTGGGTTGGAAATGAATGTACAGCATTTTGGAATGAAACCCTTCTTATAATGTACAAAAGTCTTAGGCAGCAACGAACACTGTTTAAAACCATATGTCTTGGCAGTAAGTGTGTCTTCGCCAGTAAAAAAGTATATAACATTGAAATAAATACAACTAAACATAAATACAGTAAACATAACAAGTATTACTTCTTATTTTGTTTAAACTTGTTACTATTTTTGTTAAGAGGAAGCAGGTCTGGTTCCCCGCTCCTCTGTGCACTCCAACCACTTCATGGATTTGTTAAATTCCATCAGCAGCCCACCTGATTTAATTTCATGAAGGATTTATTACATAAACTATGTACTGGATGGTGACTGTAAATACTGGACTTCCTCAAGAAGAGTTTTCGAAAATGGTTAAGATAACAAAGTCACATACATAAAATAACAATGTATTATTTATTTGTTTGTTTGCATTTATTCTAATGCTTTTTTCAAATAAATAAATAACTTTATTTTAATTTTTCTCACATGCCAAAGACTTATACAGAGTACTGTTTACATGTACTGTTTATGTGTGCACAGGGTATTTGCTTACCAGCCTCTCTGTTTGTGCGTAGTCCTGCTCTGGAGAGGAGAGACCCCAGGGATCATTCAGACTGAGCTCACGTGGCCGGTGGAAGAATGGATACATTTCTGCCACACTCTCCAGGGAGGAGAGAGCCTGAAGAAACACACACACACACACACACACACACACACACACATACACACACACACAAACACACAACAATTAACCTGCAGACCTTTCTCCGGCACTGGAGAAAACAAAAACATGGTGTTAACCCATTGAACCCTAGGACTATTATACAGGCAGATTCTAAAGAAAAGACCAGTGAACTTACACTTGTCTTCTGAGTTTTATATGTAATATATATTTATATGCTGATGATAGCAAAATAGCGATACATCTGAAAATAAAAAAGAAATTCTCTGAGGTACCTGTAATGAATGCACTAAAAACATGTATTAGCTTTCTGTGATGTAGAGAGCTTAAACACTTCAGACATCTGGCTCCCATCACCACTGCTGTAAACTAATCTGCCTCGGTTAGTTTCTCTAAGACAGCACATTGAATCCACTCTGCTTACATCTTAATAACTTATTTGTACAGGAATGTTTATAAATCCCAAAAACATGGGAATATGTGGAAAAATGCATGAAGTCTAGTGTTTTGGCTCCACACGACCTTCATTGAGGACAGCTGCTTGGACTTGATTTTGATTTTGACTGCACTTAATTTTAGTAAAAATTTTAATTTGATGGAAATTTATTGTTGTGTGAACAGTCTTGTTTTGTAAAAGCATTATTTTTTTTTTATATTTTGTCATTTCTTTAAATCAAAACACTAAAAAAAGATGCAGATCTGTCAACATTGAATGTACATCAAATGTAAATGTAATTATTTACATAATAAAATATGTAATTATGTAATTACACATAATTAATATAGCAAAACAACAGTAATAATCCTAGGCTTTTAAATGTCATTCCTGCTTTCAACCAAACTTGGATTAAACAGTATCTATTTTCCTGATAACAGTGACTCTACTGTCACATTAATGAATCAAACCACAAAGTCTGTTTTAGTACACTGTGATAACTGTAAGTGATTAGAATACTTGAATAGGATTGAATATGTTTAAACTGAAAGAGAGCTGAAATAAGAATAATATTGGGGCAAATGCCAGTTCAAAAGCATGAATTACATTACAGTTGGTCATATAGGGCAACCTTCAAAAGTCATTGTGAGCTGAATTCGATATGTACCTCTATAGAACTGGCAATGTTAAGGCACTCTTCCATTCCAGGAATATCAAGCTGGAGAATGCGGAGGTCCTTACACTTGATAATGATGGTACCTGATGAGCCAGTTGTTCTGCATATTGAACACATGCATACAAACACACACAATAAGTTCATGCCTTAGAAGATTTCACAGCTTGTAACAAATGTTTATTTGCTCCCTCATAAGCAAGTCGTCTCAAACAACACAGAGAACGATGCAGAAAAGCTCACACTAGCACGGCTGCTGTTGCAGCACCCGGAGACGTGACAGAGAAAAGTAGCTTATCTGCACCATCAGGGTCCCGTTTCCTTGACATACAGAACAAGTTTAGACCAGCTTAGCGCAGCTGGCTTTCTCCTCACACAGAAAAGCAGGAAGAGTGACACAAAGGCATTATTTAGCCTTTATTCTTACAAGGTAAAAAAAATGCTCGGTACGAGATGCAGGCCTCCATGAGGACATTTCAAAGGGAAGAAGTCAAGCGCACTTGAAAGGACGGCAGTGGCAGAGATATGATCACAAGGAAATATTCACTGCAAAATAAGTCAGTCGTGCTTGGCTTAGAAAAAGCAACATAATGTGCCGAAGAAAAAGCTGAATAAAGCAATTGAGTCCACTGGAAGTTCTCCTAGTGTTGCAAGATGTAAACAAGGATAGAAACGCTGCTCAGACCAGAAGTTGCCCTTTTTGGCCACGAACCTATTTTACACAATTCTTTCCTCTTACACCAAATGTAGTCGATCAGCCGAGACATGTTTGGTGTCTGACGTTTACCTCAGTTTTGCACTGGAGCTACAAAGTTAGTTAATGTAGCTAACAAGTATTGGAAGCTTGTGTACACCAATTAGCACCGTACAAACAATGCCTAAATCATCACACACTTGCCTCAAACTATGTCAAGTTGTTAAGTAAACTCCTCTACACTTGAGCCCAATCCCATTTCACCCCTTGACCCTACCACTTAGCCTTTAGCCCTCTGTTTTGCGTGTTCACGTCTAGGGGTAGGGTGTCCCAATTTTTGTTGAGATAGAGGGGTAGGGCGAAGTGTTAGGGCTACATGGCCCTCCAAACAGAGGTTTTATAGAGGCACAATCCAAACAGAGTGTTATGAGAAAAAAAAGAAAAACCAGCAAGATGGGTGAACAAGAGACCAAGAGACTTGTTTTCTTCGTAACAAGCATAAAAATCGCTAATAGCATGCTAATGTCTCAGTAGCTAGTTGGCTAACTTTTCCGTTCCACCTTAAATAGTCCAGCAGTTCTGACGCCTGCAGTCCCAGAATGTAACTGCTGCACCATTTAAGGTGGAACGGGAAAATTCGAACAAGAAGCTGGCGAATATCTGACTTCAGCTTCACATCACTGAAGAATTAGGGGTGGGCGATAATAAATAATTGTCCCCCCCTCTTTGAAAGCATACGATGCCCTAACTGTTACTAAAGCCAAGCAGTGAGGAGCTGAACTTTATCCCCCTCTGCTGTCACTGAAGACAGACCGGGTCGCCTACAGAGCACTGCTAGCAGCCTGTTAACGAAGCAATGTTTTTTTCGTAGGGCAAGATTTCAACCACTACTCCTTGTAACTCAGTTCCAAGGGGTTAGGGTGACACTCGAAAACAAGGGGTAGGGGTAAACAGAAGAAATGGGATTGGGCCTTGCTTATGTGGTTTCTGACACTGCATGAACACACTGTTATTAGTAAAAAGAAAAATTCAGGATTCATGATGCCGCTATTGTTTTGGTTATGTGTATCCTTCTGCCTATTTTTAGATAAAAAACCATACATTCATATAGTGTTAGAAAACACAAAAACAAGTCTATTTCAGGTTACTTAGTAAGTGTGTGATGATATGGCTATACACTTCCATTACTTGTAGACATGTAAAGCTGGAATACATGTAGTTAGAATATGTTACCTGATTGCCTGTTAAAAGCTCCAAATGTCCATGTGTAGGATGAAGCTGTGTAGTACTAAACCATTAGGTTAACACGGGTAAAGCTCATGAATGGTGAAGCCGTTCTGGTGCTAACAGAAATTAGAAGATCAGTAGTGGTGAATAAACAAACTAGGAATCTGCATTCCATGTAACTTTGATATTCGAGTATCTGCAAGAGTTCATAAACGGCTATCTTAACCACTGAGAAAGAAAACAACGTTAAGAAAGAAATACACCTATCTTTACTGAAACAAATGTAAGAATGCAGAGCTGTCGTTCACTTTTTTAGGTAATAATATAAATAATAATATAATTTTAATTATAATTTAAAAACGTTTAATTGTTCAAAAACAGCAGAATGAAGATGGAGACTCATCGTCTTCTACAGGTTTTCTCCTCTTCACTAGACAATGTGTCAACATGTTAGTTTGTCAGAAAAATAAATTTACATTTAGAAATATAACTGTTTTGGATCTACCTTCAGCCTGATCCACTCTATTTACCAATAAAAGCTGTCCTATCTCTGCCTTCTCAGTCCTTAACAACACAAAGAGTTAACAGGCCTATATGATAATTAGACACACAGTAGGCCTGGGCGATATCTAAAAATCAGCACAATATTTTCTAGAAAAATTGCGATTATCGATTATAATGTTCCACCTCCTCATAAATACCGGTGCACATGGTCTGCTGCAGCTAAGACTAACTTTCTTTCTATTTTTAGTTTATATGGTCTCACATTAACACAACATCTTTTTAAAACTACTTCAACTGTCGGTTTAATAGAAGTTACTGCAAACATGTGCATTCATGAGCTCCTTCTGGTGTAGATTCCTGGTGACTTATGTGCTAATAGCGCCACACTCTGGGAAAACCACAGAATGGCTTTTTAAAGCCCCATTATTATCCAGTGTTTTAACAGTAAAAGCAACAAAACATTAATTGTACATAGTATTCAATATGCAGTTGAACAGTAAGTTAGTCCTTCCTGGTTCTCTGTCAGTAGTTTTTCCCCAACACAGTGATTACTGCCTTTTTAACATCGTCATGGGGGAATTTGCCATTCATCGATGATATCCGATTACATCTCCCTATTGCTCAGGCCTAACACACAGAAAATAAATATGTGGACAGTTTTCATTTGATTTTACTTTTATTTTTAATTATTTTTCAGTTGTCATATTGTACACGAATAACCACATTTCAAATTTTACCTAGAGCACATAGTATTTTAGCTTTAAACATGTAGCAAATCTTTAATACAATTCTGTGATAATATTGTAATACTGTTTTGTAATAATATGATAAAAGTTTAGGTAATTATTGTGATATAAAACATTTTTGGTTAGGTATGTTAGCCCCGTAGCTCCAGTGCAAAGACTAAAGGTGCAAACTTGAGACAGCAAACATGTCTTGACTGATCGACTACATTTGCAGTAAGAAAAAAATTGTGCAAATTTAAAACTTGGCTGAACTTTTGCTTCAATACTGACTCAGGCCCAGCCCCCAATCACAGCCCCCAGTCACAATAAACTACGAGATCAGTAAGAAAAGGGCAACTTCTCTCTGCACTCACAATGCTTTGCTCTCCAGAGACGGTAACATGAGCGCTTTCAGACACAGATGTGATTTAGTGCTGGATCAAACCTTTGGCTCTGGCCAGCTTTGGCATGCTGGGGGTATCCTAGTAGATTCTCAACACTAATACAGAGAGAGCGATGGATAAAAACAGCATTAGTGCACAGGGTTAAAGACAAGGACTGGATTGTTGTACTGCCATTAGTACACAGCACCTTAAAGAGTTCAATTAAGTGTTTAAGTTGGAAATTAATTCATCATTTAACACTGTGGACTGAATATTTACTCCCTGGTCACTTTATTAGGAACCCATCCCTCGTAGCTCCACCCTACTGGTGCACATTTAGAGACTGTATTTCATCTATTGATGCATGATTCTAACACAGAGCCGCTCTTGTCTGGATATTTTTGGATGGTGGACCACTCTCAATCTAGCAGAAACACCAATGTATGTAAAAGAGATGATCAATGATGAATGAGAAAGAGGGTGGTAAGCACAATGGTGGATCATTCTCAGCACTGCAGTAACACTCACGTGGTGGTGGTGTGTTAGTGTGTGTTGCGCTGGTGCGAGTGGATCAGACACAGCAGTGCTGCTGGAGTTTATAAACACCTCAGTGTCACTGCTGGGCTGAGAATAGTCCACCAAACAAAAATATCCAGCCAGCAGCGTCCTGTGACCACTGACGAAGGACTAGAGGATGACCAACACAAACTGTGCAGCAGCAGATGAGCTATTGTCTATGACTTTACATCTACAAGGTGGACTGACAAGGTGGGAGTGTCTAATAGAGTGGACACAGTGTTTAAAAAGTCCAGCAGCACTGCTGTGTCTGATCAACTCGCACCAGCACAACACACACGAACACACCACCACCACGTCAGTGTTACTGCAGTGCTGAGAATGATCCACCACTCAAATAGTACCTGCTCTGTGAGGGTCCATGGGGGTCCTGACCACTGAAGAACAGGGTAAAAGGGGGCTAACAAAGTATGCAGAGAAACGGATGGACTACAGTCTGTAACTGTAGAACTACAAAGTGCACCTATATAGTAAGTGGAGCTGATAAAATGGACAATGAGCGTAGAAACAAGGAGGTGGTCATAATGTTACGCCTGATCGGTGTATATAATGGAGCTATAAAGTAGGTGGAGTTCCAAAGTGGCCAGTGAGTGAAGATCACGTAGGTAAGAACAGTTAAAAGCTCCCAGACAGCATGTGCTCCCTGTTTGTAGTTAATGATTCTTTGAAAAGCAAGCCAAGACAAACACCAGCAACACTCCCAGCTTATTCATATTTACATTTCTAGTGCAGTACAGTGTAGAAATGTGTGAACATTGATTATCAGTGCATACAAAACAGTCTCAGCAAATAAATGTGACTGCAGACACATGCCCTGAGCAAACACTGGTGAGCTTTGACTTAAAGGAGAATTTCATCAATTTTTCAACATTTTCTGCATAAATAATTCACTAAGGTCTACACAAGGTCATTCAGAGTGGTGGAATACTTATCAATTAAGAGTTGTTCAAAGTGGTGGTTATAGGAACCAGACGTCTGAAGCATTCAATGCCACTAAAACCTCCCTCACAAACAATTATGACACTAACTGATTATAAATAAATGTTCTGATGTCTGAAACATTGTTTCACTGGGTAATGAAACGTTGGGTGCTGTAAGGCAAAAAAACCTTTTTTCAGACTTTAGACTATTTTACCATCATCAACACTACATGTAGAAACTCAGAAGGCACCCGTAGGTTCACTTGTGGTTTTGAACAGTAAATGGCTATATTTGTGTTGTAAGCGTTGCGACCCCTGGTTCCTATCACCACCCCTGTAGAGAAATCTAAGTCTGTTAGTTTCCCTACAATAAACCATTTCCCATCAAAAAAACCCTAAATGGCTTTGTTTAGATCTCAGTGACTGAATTCCTAAGAAATTTTGAAAAAAATGGTGGAATTTCACTGTTGCAAAATTGTTTCAAACCTATGTCTGAACTATTTATGCCTATGTCGGACCTGATGTCACTAAAACTACATCTCCCAGCAGTCCACACTCTACATCATAGCATCACTTGTAGTGAAAAAATAAGATATATCTGAAATTAACAGTATGCCAAAGTCAATATGGGGCACATTTATCAATCTTCCAAGTAAATAATTGAGCTGTGATACTTTTTTCCTGCATTCCTCTCTTCCTGCATACATGTTTAGTGATAAAAAAATACAAAAAAAAAGCAAATAAAAAACACAAAATGCAACAATGGGCCTCCATTTTTCACCTCTTTGTAGCACTCTTTACACAACAGCCACTTTTTCTTGAGTACAAACTGTGGGCCCAACTCCAATCTTGCGGACCCCCTGCCACACACTTTCCCAACTGTTAGTCAGAACACCTGATTCAGCTTATCATACAATTATCAAACCTCTGAGGAACTGGATCAGGTATTCTGTGGCAATGTGCAATATTTATAGCAAATAAATTCATACTAGAGTTTAAAATATCAAATTCATTTACTGTTTAGATGCAGAATAACACACATACACATTCTTGAGTGTTACAGGCTTATTAATTTTACATAAAATTAGACCTAAAATGAAGATTTTGTCATCTTTAAAACCTGTGGGTGCAATTTTTCGACATTTACACCAAAACATTATGGTTTTTTATGACCAGACGCTTCCTAAAAAATGTTTAAAAGGGAAAAAAAACAACAAAATCAAAAAAAGTATTAATGAATGTAGTCCTGTGAGGGGCGGACTGACACCACGGTTAATACAGTCGATTAAAAGTGAAATGAAAACACTGAAAAGATACTGAATAGTACGACAATGCTAAATACTACTTTAGTTTTATAGACCTAATGCTTGTTAACTTCTGCTGCACTACTGGTATTTTCTGGTTGTAGACAAACAGATGATAGGAAGGATAGGACTGAAATATATACACACAAAAAAAACAGAAATACGTTCTCAAATTTAAAAAACACTTCTCTGAAAACTGACTAAAATTAAAGTGAAATTCTCACAGGAAAACAGAAAACAAGCTAGCTAATCTAACAGTTAACTTCAGCCGGGTCCAACACAACCCACACTACACCTAACACGGAATTAGTGTGACTTTTCTAAAGTAGTAACTCAAAACCACAAAACTAGACTTTTATGACCTTGTTAGACCCAAAACCACAAAACTAAACTTCTATGACCTTGTTAGACCCAGTTTTTTGAAAGGAGGTGCCGTTATTGTCTCACCTCTTCTCGACGGCATCTATGTTCCTGAGGAGCAGCAGTAGCTGCCATTCTCTCTCCTCTGCTCTGTCCGAGAACAGGAGGTGGTGGCCGGTAACGCACAGCGTTCCCCTCAGGGGCGGCTGGAAAGGCAGTTTGAGCACCACATCTTCCACATTGGCCGTTTTAATGTGCTCGGAAAACTCCATCCTTCTTGAGAAGGGACGGCGACCTCATGCTCAGGAGAAGTTCACTTTGCGAAAAAGCACGTCTCGAAACAGCCACCGCTAACGCCTTCCTCTCGCGCACTACCTTAGCAACGAGCGCACCGCCCCCGTCATTGTTTTTTCCCGCCTGTTTTCCGACAAGTCCCGCCTCCTGTGCTCTGATTGGTTAATAATTCGTGCTGAGATGCAGTCTGCCAATCAGGTAAAAGAATGAGGATCTAGAAAGAAAAACTGACTTCGACACTAAAACTAAACCTAAAACTATAAAATATAAATACTTATATAGTTAAGTATATAGTTAATAATAATAATAATAATATTTTAATTGTATTTCTATTTAATATTTATTGATTTTTCTCTTTTAAATCTATAGTTTATAATCATGTTTTAATCAAAATTTTTATTCCTACATCTTTTTAATTTTAATTGTTTTGAATTCTCTTGAAGGTGCTACATAAATAAACTAGGCTTGCCTATATAAACACACACATATATATATATATATATATATATATGTATATATATATATATATATATATATATATGTGTGTGTGTGTGTGTGTGTGTGTGCATGTGTGTGTGTGTGTGTGTGTGTGTGTGTGTGTGTGTGTAGCTAAACCAGTACTAGCCAATCCGAGCGCGGGGGGGAGGCGGGGCTTCCTGAATACAGGTGGAAAACAAAATAAGCCATAAAAGCTTCATCAGCTCGACTCAAAGTCTTTTAGGTGCGGCGTCGATCACTATAAGTGGGACCAAAGCTGGTTGTACATTTACTGCCCACAGTCAGCGCAGAAATAGGGTGTGGTTATTGCAGTCAGTCCACTGATAAGGGACATATTATTAGTCACTTTCGTTTTCTTGCTCAGGCTGGTTAGTGGGCTGATCTTTGTAGAGCTGTACGAAAGAAGGAAATAACGGAGTTTCGCAAGGTCTGCAAAACACAAAGTGGTTCTCATGGGTTGAGCTGTTTGGTTGGTTGGTCGTTATTTATCGTGTTTTTTTATGTTTAATCTGTATTGAATTTCCAGCATTGCAATTGTAAATTCAGAGAGAAAATAGATTAAGATCGTATTATATATTATCCTAATCTCCTCTTTTTTCTTTTAACTATAGTTCTCCTGTTTTTAAATCTATTTATTTATTTTTTAATTCCATTTTGTGTTTAGCCCTGTCAACATGTGAATATCATAATCAATTTCTATTTTGAATTCCTAAACATTTAATCTTTAGCCATTCATACATTTATGAATGTAAAAATCCACAGATATTAAACAGGTTTTAAACAAAAGTCCGTCATAATATTAATGCTACATATGCTTTTGAGATGAGGAGGGTCTCTGGTGGAAACGCGCGCTCGGAGACCTTCTTCTCCACCGCGAGGCGACGACTGCCCGTAAAAACACAGATGGGGCTAAAGTGACCAGAGCAGCGCTGAGTTCACTGAGAAACAATTCGGCCTGTAATTTTCTCAGAAGATCAGGGAGAAAAACAGAGACAGGGCCGATTCGGACTAAAATCATCCGGGACCCCGTGGAAATTTGATCCCGTCCTAATGGGCTCCCGTTGTGAACGGAACTCCGTGGAGTTTTGCTAAGTTGCCAAAAGGTAGTTTTAACACCATCTGACAACCTTACTGAATAATGAGGTTGTGACAACGTTGTTCAGACAACGTAAACGGCACCGCCTTTTGGCGACGTTGTAACAACGTTGTAAGAAAGTAGAAAGTAGGTTTTCTGTAGCATTGGCAACATCAATCATCAATCATTGGCAAGTTATACGTTTAAACATGAGCGTTTGTTTGTGCCAGGTATCTCTGTATCCGCCAGAACGGTTGTCATTGCGTGTAGACTGTCCATTAAACTCCGAGCATGAAGCTAAACACCCACAGCTCCAGCTCAGCCCGGCCCAGCCCGGCTCAGCAGCTGACCAAACGGCTAAACCGAGGCTGCTGTTGTGTCGGTCAGCCAGAAACCGGCGTTTAAAAAGCTGCATATCTGGTTTTCTCGAGGAAACATTAAAGAATAAACACACAGTGGGTTTAGATGATTAGTTTTATTCAGTGTAGCCTGTACATACAGTTCATCACCCGTAGACCATCACAGCCGAGATGTTATACCGATAACACACTCCCTCTTGTATTCTGTTGCTTTTATACAACAGTTAAATAAATAAAGTAATAAATTAATAAACTGGGCCGTGAACGCGGCGTTTCATATGTTTTAATGTTCGCAGTTCCTTCCGCCAAATTATAGTTCCTTAACAAGCAGCTCGTTGATAGGTCACAGTAACGAGCTCCGCTCACTCGCTGCACAGCCGGCAGTTCGCTCTCCAGCTCCACACAGACCAACTGACAGTTTGGGAATTTAGTGTAGTCTCATCTTCAGAGTCTGACCAAATCGGCTGTCTGTCAAATATAATCTGCAAAGTACCCATTTTCTGTTTGTGGCAAAGTAAGAAGTTCAAATCGCTTGAGCGTCTCCTGTCAAAGTCGTTGCTTAGCAACGGCGTCTCAGCGGAGTGATACAAACACTGTAATAACAGCAGAGCCGGTTTATGAGCAGGAGGCGGGCTTTACTGCTAGAGCGTGATGATTGATTGCCGAGCGGAGCAGCTCATTGGCTGTTTGCGCTCACTCGAGTTTAAAAGCTATTAAAAATATAACAGCGGTGTTAAAATGTTTTATGCTGTTCTGTTGGTTGCATTCTTTTCCATTAAAACATGTTTAAGCATTTATAAACTATGATTTTGCTCAAATGCTCCTTATCAACCCATTCATTTTGGACTCGATCGGGAGCGCCCTCTAGCTCCAGAAAAACCCAGAAGACATTGCAGAGTGGGAATTCTCCTCTCTACAAGCTCTCTGATTGTTACTAATTATACAACAGTTAGTTCCGGCCACGCAAGCTGATTGGTTGAGAAGGTTCTAACCGCGCTGTTATTTCGCCATAACGTCACGGGTTTTTCCACAAACACTGTATCACTCCGCTGAGACGCCGTTGCTAAGCAACGACTCTGACAGCTGTAGGAGACGCTCAAGCCATTTGAACGATTTTTACTTCTTACTTTGCCACAAACAGAAAATGGACACTTTTAAGATCACATTTGACCGACAGCCGATTTGGTCAGACTCTGAAGATGAGACGACACTAAATTCCCAAACTGTCATCACCACTGAGCAGCTTTTCAGTCAGCAGCTGTGACAGAAGAACAGCTGAACAACCTGGAATCAGCCAGAAATGAACCCAACACCATTCGCCAAACGTGTAGTCTGATCTTTAGAGTCAGACCAAATCAGACTGAGACATAAAACTGACACAATAAAACAGAAAAGCTGCTCAGTGGTGACGGTTTGGGAGTTTAGTGTGAGGAGCTGGAGAGCGAACTGCCGGCTGTGCAGCGAGTGGGCGGAGCTCCTTACTCTGACGCAGCAACGAGCTGCTTGTTAAGGAACTATAATTTGGCGAAAGGAACTGCGAACATTAAAACATATTAAACGCCGCGTTCACGGCCCAGTTTATTAATTTATTACTTTATTTATTTAACTGTTGTTGATATTTTCTCGTCTCTGTGTGAATAACCACACAAAGTGAAGTCGTGTATGAGCATCAATCGGACAAGAGCTCCATTCATGGAATTCAGGTGCAACAGTGTGTTAATTATTCTGGTATAGATGTTTGTGAATCGAGCAGTGAGAGTACACTTAAAGATCTTCAGCCTAGACTGAGCCAGAAAAGGCGGCCTTTGGTGTAAAACTGTAGGAAATCTCACAGAACGGTGAGCGGGGTCAGATCCTCCGTGTGAAGCTGTAATACCTCTGCGGTCCAGCAGGGGGCAGCAGCGCACTTTAAGAAACACCAGTGTAGATCATTTTAGACCTACAGCTTTAAAAGGGCGTTAACACCAACGATTCTTCAGACACTCAGGAACTCCTGGCCTTTTTTCATGCGTTGCTTGTTTCTTGTATGTTCGTGGACTGATCTTCTGTTATTTGTTATCTCTTACCTCTGGTTCTGTTTCTCCTTTTCTTGTTTCTGACGTGTTGTTTATTTATTTTCTTTTACAAACCAAATTGTTTTAATAGAGAGCTCTACATCTAAGAAGGGTATGTGGCAAATGCAGCCAGTTTTAAAAGTATTAATCTCTGTTATAATATGTAACCAACACCAAATGAACAAAACTACATATACAAAGCACCAGAAAAAACAAGACGAACAGCAAAAGAATTAAGGGGGGGAGTCGAATTTTATTAAGAATTTGATTGAATAGGGGAAATTTAGTATGTCCAATTGGCCTGACTGCATGTGTTTGGACTGTGGGAGGAAACCGGGGAACCCGGGAAACCCACGCAGACACGGGGAGAACAGGCAAACTCCACACAGAGAGGACTCTGGTCGCCCAGGCCCTTCTTGCTGTGAGGCGACAGCGCTACCCACTGCGCCACCGTGCTGCCCGAAGAACATACAAGAAAATGAAAATAAACAACTACTATAACTAACTAATAAACCTAATGTCTGGTGGTCAAGAGTAATGGTTAATAATCTATTATTCTATTACTAATAATCTATTACTATTAGTTCATCTTCTAATAGTAAAATGTAAATAATCTAGATTAAATTTAAATAATCAAAAGTAAAATTTTAATTGTCAAAAGTCAAATTTTTATGGTCAAAGTCAAATGACATGAACTACTAAATATCAATCAGTGAAAGAACCCTAAATGCCTTAAAAGTTCTAGAAAGCACTTGGCAACGTTGAGTATGTCTTTAATTTTAGATATGATGTTCTTGAAGTTTAGACTTTTCCCTTCCTTCCAAATCAGCAGCACAGCAAACACCACAAGCACAGCTGCACCTAACAATTTGAAAACATAGCTTTAGTTCAGGGTTCTAAAAAGTTTAAGTGATTTCATATGCAAACAAACACAATGCAAAGACAGTGTTGCATACCAGCCAACAATAGAAAGAGAAGAGAAGGTAAAGGTTCTAAAAGTGTTAGAAGGCAAAGGGCAACATTGCATATGTTGTTTAGCTGAGATGTTAAGTTCTTGAGATTTAGGCTTTCCTCTTCCTTCCAAATCAGCAGCACAGCAAACACCACAACCACAGCTGCACCTAACAATTTGAAAACAGCTTTAGTTCAGGGTTCTAACAAGTTTAAGTGATTTCATATGCAAACATAAACACAATGCAAAGACCGTGTTGCATACCAGCCAACAATAGAAAAGGATGAGAAGGTAAAAGTGTTAGAGGGTAAAGGGCAACATTGTATATGTTGTTTAGCTGAGATGTTAAGTTCTTGAGATTTAGGCTTTCCTTTTCCTTTCAAATCAGCAGCACAGCAAACACCACAAACACAGCTGCCCCTAACAATTTGAAAACAGCTTTAGTTCAGGGTTCTAACAAGTTTAAGTGATTTCATATGCAAACATAAACACAATGCAAAGACGGTGTTGCATACCAGCCAACAATAGAAAGGCACGAGAAAGCCATCCTTTAAAGCCATGAGAAAGCCATCCTTTAGAGCCCTCAAGGGTGGCTGCTTTTGGAGGATCAGCGATCACCACTCTGATTTCTTCTTGATCAAGTGTCTTCATGTTTTCATGTTGAAAGAGAATTCAAAGAAAACTCAGTCAAAACCTAGTAGCCATTAATATTATTAAAACATTTCTAATAATAGAATTCTTTTCACATAAAAAGCTTGTTCTAAAGTCTGAATTCTAAATTTCTGAATGTACTGTAATGTCTAAGAAAGCTGTTCTTACCTTTAAAGATTCTTTTTTTGACATTTTATATATTAATGTATAATAATAAGTTGGTTGGATAAATAATAATAATCTCTAGGTTTGGTTAAATCATAAAATTCCTGTATCAGCGAGCTTTTATACTTTACTGAAAGCTGCCCTTTCAAGTTTGATGGGTTGTGCAACCAATCAAATAATAATGCATGAAGAGGCGGGCTTGTAGGCTGGTGAACAAAATGGACAACAGCAAAAGCCTTAAATCCTGACAAGTCATAGCAATAAAATAAATTTGAATGTACTTGTTTTTTCAAATCACCAGCATAGCAACCACCACAACCACAGCTGCACCTAACAATTTGAAAAAAAAAAAATCCTGTCATAAACTCAGTTTTATGCTGCTGTTTTGTGAAACATGAAAAAACTGAACATTTTTGCATTTTGCTAAAACAAACATTGAGATGGTTCCAGATTCCAGCCTGAACTGGGTGAGAGTGTGTTTAACAGAACAGACTGGCTAGTCAGGTACCACCATCATCAAATATCAGGACCTCCGCGTTCCCCAGATTAACATTAGCAGAGTGGAGCTGTATAGAGATGCTTAGAATGAATCTCAGTTCAGTTTATTTATTTCTCTCTAAATTTACTGTCACTGAATATTCTAACTATCATGTAACTCTGCCACTGGTCTGTGCAGCCAACTCTGGTGTCCTTCATGCTCTGTACTGTCACACGACTTTAATATTATTCTCAGTACAGCTCTCTGTCAAAGTAAAGCAATTCAGCTAAATGAGACTCAAATCTCATCCACGGCTAAAAAGCAATGAATGTGAACATGGACTGTTCTAAGAACTACTAAAACAATGAAGTATTCAGACCTGGGATATTTACAAGGATTATGTTATGATTTATTTAATCCCAATTAATGAATTAATTAGAGTAATAATCGAAACATATACAAAATCATCATTTACTGAATATTTTCTATTGGGAGCTGTCTGTCCCAAACCCTAATGCCTAAATTTACATTTGTGAAAATAATCAGTTTTTCTTAAAGATCTTTTTTGAGTGAGTTGAAAGATTTAGATTTATCACAAATTAAACTTTTAAATGAAAAAACTTTATTCAAAAATGCTATCTTACGTTTTCATGTCACTACCGAAACACAGAATTTCGTTCCAGCCATCCCTGTCCCTCATGATCAGCAGTTAGATCCCATTGTTTTAATGTAAATGTGTCCCAAAGTCTGAAAATCTGTGTGTAACATTAAGAATCATCACTACTGAAACACAAACAGTCCCCTCCACAAATACAGGCACCCCTATAAATGATGAGCAAAAAGGGTCAAAGAAAGAAATTCTGTTTTGTTGAATTAGCAACAGAAGTAATTTTATTCTAAATTTAAAAAAATCAAGAAATATTTTGAATCATTTTTACCAAAACCAAATGTTACACAAATATTGGCACCCCTAGAAATTGTTAGAAACACAATGTAACTGAAGCATTTTTTTCCATTTATATTTTCGTTTTTTAAGTTGATCAGAGAGTCTGGGAAATTTCAAACAGTTAACAGCGACTTCCTGTTTCACTGCAGTATATATGTGAGGTAACATAGAGGTCAAATTCCCTTGTGTTCAAAATGTCATACTCTACTATATACTGAATGTTGCATAAGTACTGAATACTGCATGCTACTCTTCATTAGTAGTATACAGTACAATAACCAGTATACGTCACATGCCATGCGCAAATAGCCTTCCAACATCCGGCACTGAGCCAATCAGAACCATTTCAAGACCTGCTCCACTTTCCTCAGCCCTCCAATCACTGCTTAGAAACCCCTGCTAGATGCTTTTAGTCAAGAAATGTGTGACTTATAAAAGACACCCCAAACCATACAGAGGGCAGGACGTTGTTTCTACCGATCTCCAAAACCACAAATAAACTTTTAAAAATGTCACATTTGCATTCATCTGTGTGGTTTCTAAACACACCTGTTTTCCTGCAATCTGAGCTGACTGAATAATAAACAGTGTGACACGCGAGCCTGGAAATCTAATGCTGAGTGTATTGATTGGCAGAGTTACTGTTTGGCCCACATTAGGCAGAATGCAGGGCTGGATCATTGGTGAAGGTATGGGGATGGGGAGATGGGGCTGGTTCATTGATAGGAGTATGGGGATGGAGAGACAGAGTTGGTTCATTGGTAGGGGTATGTGGATGGAGAGACAGAGTTGGTTCATTGGTAGAGGTATGAGGATGGAGAGACAGTTGGTTCATTGATAGGAGTATGGGGATGGAGAGACAGAGTTGGTTGATTGGTAGAGGTATGGGAATGGAGAGATAGGGCTGGTTCATTGGTAGGGGTATGGGGATGAGGAGATTGGGCTGGTTCATTGGTAGGGCTATGGGGATGAGGAGATTGGGCTGGTTCATTGGTAGGGCTATGGGGATGAGGAGACAGGACCGGTTCATTGGTACAGGTATGGGGATGAGGAGACATGGCTGTTTCGTTGGTACAGGTATGGGGATGTGGAGACAGGGTTGGTTCATTGGTAGGGGTATTGATTGGGGTGTTCAAACTATTGCATATAACTGTATTCTATTAAAGTGAACAATATGCAACTTTTCATCTGCAGCTGCTGATGTTACAGGCAAAAGAAGGAATTTTGTATCACTCCTCTCTCCACACACTGGATTGTTTAGTGGATCATCTCTGTTTGGCCTCTATATTTCTGCACTCAAAGTCTTCTTTGAACAGTGGACTGTGACTTTTGGTGGCTGATCCCCTAATTTTAAGGTGAGCAGGAGTAAAGGAACAGATAGTATTAAAGTCAATACCTCTTAACAGTTGGCTGCATATCTCTTGCTTGCAATAATTGTGTCAAGCCTGCAACCCACTGACATCACCAAACTTTTGCATTATTCTTTTGTGATCCTTTCCACCCTTTTAATGCAGCTTCTTTCAGTTGTTTGTTTTTAGGGCGTTTCTCACTTCATTCTTTAGGTGGTAAATTGCTGCTCAGCTGCTCAACAAGTGGCAAACTTTCCACGTCTTTCCACTGATGAAGTCGTTTGCTGTGTTGGCAGTGTGTTTTGCCTTATTGTCTTGCTGCATGATGAAGTTCTTCTTGATTAGAGGAACACTGTGGAGGTTGTTGGTGACATCAATGACTGTGACAAATACTGTTTTCCTTGGCTGTCCTGTTTGATGTCTGGTTGTCGGTACACCAGTGGATTCTTTCTTTTGTCAGGACATTCCAAACTGTTGTTTGTGCTATGCTCAGTGCTTGAGCAGTGACTCTGACTGATTGGCTTCTCATAAATGGCTTGCTTCTTTCCTAACAAGAAAAACCTGTCAAATAATTGGCCTTGAGAATTTATGTACACACCCAGCTTCATCCAGCACACTTTTGGTTTCAGTGTACTTTGTGTAAATTGTTGGATTCACAGAAATTAGACTCCACCTGTACACGTGCCATATTTATTTGGGTAGAAAGTTTTTTACTGGCCAAATATGACAATTTTCCTCTGCTATATTCTGATAACATTTGGGTTTGAGACCAACAGATGAAAATTAGATGATCGATCAGAATTTCATCTCTAATTTCTTGATATTTAAGTCTATATACATTAAACAACATATGGCACCTTTGGTGACAAAGCACTCAATGTTCAGTGATAAAAAACAGGACCAGATAGTTTTATATTAAGTTAAAGTAAATAACACTCAATATTTGGCTGCATATCCTTTGCTTTCAATAATTTCATCAAGCCTGTGAACCAATGTCATCGCCAAACTGTTGCATTATTCTGATCTGTCATCCCATATTCATCTTTTCATCTCAAATCCAAATGCCTTAGGTGTACAGCAAAGACAAAAGAATTGGCCTTGACATGCAATACATACTATTTTATGTAGACACCCAGTTTCGCCCAATGCACTTTCGTTTCAGTGTATTTGAAAACTGTTGGATTCCGAGAAGTAAGACTTCACCTTTACATGTGGTGTATTTAATTTGCTAGAAAGTTATTACAGCCTAACTGGCCAAATATGAACTTTTTTTGTTATATACTATAACACCAAATTTTTAGGGGAGCAGAAAAACAGGACCAGATAGAATTAAAGTAAATAACCCTTGATAGTTGGCTGCATATTGCTTGCAGAAACTGCATCAAGCCTGCAACCCACTGACATCACCAAACTGTTGCATTGTTCTTTTGTGATCCTTTCCAGATTTTTAACGCAGCTTCTTTCAGTTGTTTGTTTTTAGGGGGTTCTCACTTCAGTCTCCTCTTTAGGTGGTAAATTGCTGCTCTACTAGATTTAGGTCTGGTAACTTGGCAAGTCTAAAACCTTCCTCGTTTTTCCATAGATGAAGTCCTTTGCTGTGTTGGCAGTGTGTTTTGCCTTATTGTCTTGCTGCATGATCATGTTCATGTTGATTAGAGGAACACTGTGGAGGTTGTTGGCGACATCGACTGTTCTTTTTTGGGTTTTTCTTCACAGCTCTCACAAAGTTTGTCATTAACTGCTGTTGTTTTCCTTGGTCATCCTGTTTGATGTCTGGTTGTCGGCACACCAGTGGATTCTTTCTTTTGTCAGGACATTCCGAATTGTTGTGTTTGCTATGCCCAGTGCTTGAGCAATGGCTCTGACTGATTAGCTTCTGATCAATAGCTTGCTTCTCTACTATAGACAGCTCTCTGGTCTTCATTACAGTTTAGCCTTTTTAACATCTAATGCAGTCTTCACAGGCAAAACCCAGGCCTCAAACCAAGAGTAGACATTCAGAGCTATTAATTGTTTAAGCCATCAATCTAACAGGGCTCACCTGGGCAACTAGAAAAAACAGTTAAAGATCTGGCCTTGTCATGCAATACTTTTGGACTACATGTCTACACCCAGTTTCTTCCAGCACACTTTCAGTTTCAGTGTACTTGAAAACTGTTGGATTCACAGAAGTAAGACTTCACCTGTACACGTGGCATATATAATTTGCTGGAAAGTTTTTACAGCCTAACTGGCCAAATCTGATAATTTTTGCTATACACTGAAGACATTTGGGTTTGAGATCAATAGATGAATATGAAATGAGAGATCAGAATTTCAGCTTTTATTACCTGATATTT